GCTGGTATAATTACCCCAATTCAGACACTCCAGTTTCTGGGTTCTTTGCTCCGTCTGTAAAAATCTGTGTGTACTCTTTGTATTTTTCTTCGACCCTTTGATTAAATATTTTTTCCAGATTTATGCTTTCTCTTGCCTCATTCTTTTTCTCTAATATAAACCAGTCTACCTCTGGCCAAACTAACCTCCATGGAGCAATTTCTGGATAAATGACAGTAGAACTTATTCTTATATCAAACACTCAATTCTTTTGACACCATTTTTCCACACCGACCAAAATTCTCCTTGTGACTTTTCCCATTTTCCCAACTATCCTGTAATACTGCTTTAGTGATATGTGTATTTGTATGCCCTTGTAAACCTACCCAATAATTAGCCATCAACTGCTTCCTTCTTAATTCCAGTGGCAATTCTCCCATTTCCACTTGAATAGCTGACACTGGTGTTGTCTTAAAAGCTCCACTACATATTCTCAGTGCCTGCACCTGAATTACTTCTAATTTATTCAAGTTTGACTTGGCTGCTGAACTATACACTACACTACCATAATCTAACACTGACCTTATTAAAGCTACATAAATTCTATACAGTGATTGTGTGCTTGCACCCCAATCCCTTCCTCTCAAACATCTCATTACATTAATTACTTTTTTGCATTTTTCCTCCATTTTATGAATGTGGTCTACAAATGTTAAACGAGAGCCTATCTTAATTCCTAGAAATGTAAAATTCCCAACCCCCTCTATATCTTTTCCGTACATCTGTATCTTAAGCTCCTCTGCAATTCTTCTCCTAGTGAAGAAAACCGACTGAGTTTTTTCAACAGAAAACTTAATCACCCAATCATATCCCCACTCTACCACCCTATTAGTTGCTTCCTGTAACCTCTTAATTATATGTTCCATATTCTTTCCTCTCTTCCACAAAGCGCCATCATCCGCAAATAGAGACCTACCTATATCTTCTGGTACCTTTGCAAACACATCATTGATCATTATAATAAACAGTAATGGACTTATCACACTCCCTTGAGGCGTGCCATTTTCTGCTTCGTATACATTTGACACATCCGTCCCTACTCTAACCTGAATCTTCCATCTAGAAAGGAAATCTTTTATCCAGTTAAATAACTTCCCTCCAATTCCCAACTCATTTAGTTTAATCAATAGCCCCTTCTTCCACATCATATCATATGCTTTTTCTATATCAAAAAAATACTGCTATTACATTCTCTTTATTTACTTGAGCCTTCCTTATTTCTGTTTCTAGTCTAATCACTGAATCAATTGTACTCCTTCCCTTCCTAAATCCACTTTGACATTTATCCAATAATCCTCGTTTTTCCAGGTCATGCATCAACCTTTCTGTGATCATTCTCTCCATTATTTTACAAAGATTTGATGTAAGTGCTATTGGTCTATAACTTGTGGCTTTAGTTGGATCTTTACCGGGTTTCCTTATTGGAATCACTGTTGCCTCTTTTCAGATTTTGGGTAGCTTTCCCTCCTTCCATATCTTATTATACATCTCCAAGAGCGTCAACATTGACCTTTCTTCCAACTTCTTTAGCATTAAATAACATATTTGATCTTTTCCTGAGGATGTAGGTTTTGCTTTATTAATTGCTCTCACCTGCTAAAGTAAACGGATCATCTAATTCATTTCCTGTTTCTTCCTTCTTGTTAATCTTATGAAAATGCTGATTCTTTGTTACTGTTCTCCTCCTCCCTTCTTCTGATAAATTTTCGTAACTATGCACCTTAACAAATGCTTCTGCTATAATCTCTTCTTTCTCCTTATTTGACGTTGCTATTTTTTCTTCATTTACTATCACTGGGTATTCCCACTGCCTTCTGTCTCCTCCCATCCTTTTTATCATTCTCCATACTTCTCCTATTGGTGTATAGTTCTTCCTATATCCTCACAAAACTCCCTCCAACTTGTTCTCTTTGCTTGACGTACTGTTCTTCTGACTACTGCTTGAGCTTTTTTATACTGAATGAGGTATTGCATATTATGTGTTCTTTTTAATAATCTAAAAGCTTTGTTTCTTTCTCTTATTGCATTCCAACATTCCTCGTTCCACCATGGCACAGTTTTCCGTTTTCTTTTGGTTTCCTTTTTTGAGATAGCTTCCTCTGCTGCCCTAATAATTGCTGTTGTAACTTGATTGTTTACTATATTTATATCTTCATGAACTTCGATCTTTATCATTAACTCACAACTGATTTTTGTAAACATTTCCCAGTCAGCTTTACTAAAATTCCATTTAGGGATTCTATACTCTAACCCCACTTCCGATCTCTCACCTACTGAACTTATGATTGGGTAGTGATCACTTCCTACTGTAGATTCTGTCCACACCTCCCATTTAAAACTTCCCGCCAAAGAAGATACTAATGTTAAATCTGAGACAGATTCAATTCCTGTTGCTACATTTATTCTAGTTCCTCTACCATTATTCAAACACACCAACTCTCTTTCATCTATCAGTTCTTTTATTATTTTACCGTTAGTATCTGTACATGCCCTACCCCACATTGAACTGTGGGCATTAAAATCAGCACACCATATTACTTTGTGACTATCCTGTCCCTCAATATTTAATAACTTTTCTATATCCAACTTCTTACATGGATTATAATAATTAATGATTCTAATTACCCCACATCTTTCCCATACCTCCACTACTATGTATTCCTGCTCCTCACCTATTCCCACTACTCTATACTGAATCCCGTTCTTCATGAAAACTGCACATCCTCCTCCACCTCCCTCACTTTTTCTGTCTCTTCTAACTATATTGAATATCCATGTACTACATAATCTAAATTTGGTTTTAGCCATGTTTCTTGTATACACATCACATCTGGTTCCTCATTTAACTCATTCATAAATTGTTTAAACTCTTGTCCATTAGCTAAAAATGCTCCTAGCATTCCATTGTAAGATTATAACCATTAATATTACTACCCTATACATGATGCTTCCTGACTCGACTGATTTGTAAGGATTTTCCTTACCTCTTCCCATGTCAGTTCTACTAGTCCAAGATGGTTGACAGCAGCTTTTACTATCAGCTGTATTTTCTCATTTTTTGATTTGACTTCTGCTGTACTATTTATCACACCTGCTATAAACGTTACTAGTTCTTTTATTTTTGACGTAGATTTTCTCTGAATTGTCTTGCTGTTGAGAATCCATAACCACTTCATTTTCTTTGGTTTTCTTTTCTCTTGACACTTTAACCGCTTCAGCGTATGTGATTTTTTTCTCCACTCTTATCTTTTGTATATTTGTCTCCCTCTGCATGACTTCACATCCACTGAATGCCACATTGTGAGCACCTCCGCAATTGCAACATTTTGGTTGAACGCCTGCTCCACAGTTTTCGTAATCATGATCCCCTCCACACCTTGCACACCTTCTTTGCCTATTACAGATTTTTGCTGTGTGGTCAAATCTTTGGCAGTTATAGCACCTCAATGGTTTTGGTACATACAATCTCACTGGATAATTTACAAATTCAAGAAATACTTTCTTTGGCACTACCACTTCATCGAATTCTAATAGCACGGTTTTACTGTCTTTAGCTTCTCCATCTCTAGTTGTTTTCATTCTTGTAACATTCACTACTTTTGCTCCTTTTATATTCTTTTTCATTTCTTCTTCTGTTATACTTAATGATACTCCTGTGATCACCCCTTTAGCTACACATTTCCTTCCCATTCCCACCCTAGCTGTATTCTCCACCTTACATTTGACCACATCCTTAATTTTTAGGGCTTTTTCCATTTGCCCAGCGTCAGCACATCTTATTAGTAGGTTACCATCATTAAGGATCTTTGCGTACTCTATCTGTCCTATTTTATTTGCCAGGCTAGTTGTTAACCCAAATGGGTTTGCTTTCTTTATAATTTCTTGGTTTGTTTCTTTAAACCTTATCACTACTTCATACTTCTCTATTTCTTTCTGAAAAGAGTCCATTCTTTCATCCTCTATTTCAGACTCTTCTCCATCTTCACTTCTTACTCGTTTATTGTTTTTATCACTCATGCTAACATTTCCCCACCTTCCCTTTCCACTACTATCAAACCAATCATCATTATTATTCATATCTCCTCACCTACCTTCTTCTGATCCATTCACAGAGCTGTTGTGCACAACCGCCAGTCTTTTTCAATAAACATTTTTATCCAATTTAAATTTCCCTCCAACTTGCAAAACAAACGACCTTCCGAAAATTGCGCTCTCCAACCACCAAGGCGCTCTCCAACCACCAAGGCGCCCTCCAACCACCAAGGCGCCCTCCAACCACCAAGGCGCCCTCCAACCACCAAGGCGCCCTCTCTCCAAAGACAAATGGAAAATTAACTCAATATAAAGGGAGTAGATAGCACGAGGAACAGGTGAACATGATTAGACAAACAAGGACTAAATAAGGGGGCGAGGCATAGAAAAACAAGGAGGCAGGACAAGGGGAGCACATGGCCAACACAACAAAAGAGACAACCATGTGCTAATACACAAAACAAACAAAGAGACATTAAACACAGACAGAGTGACAGGGCTGGATCCTGACAGTACTGGCGATGACAACAGGACTCCCATTTGTACATAAAATGTGTCAGACTTATTTTTAAATGTCATGGTTTCAAAATAAAATACAAAGCACAGATCTTTTTTTATTATTTTGTTTTTTTAGTTAAAGGTCAATAATATTCTGATAAGTTGACATTTAGGTATTGTTGTTTGGAATAGCCTCATTAAAACTGAAGTTACCCAATAAATTATATTTTATATGTATAAAACTGTAAATATTGTTGTGAGTTTCAATATTATAATGATTTTAGCAAACGTCTAAATTTAGATTTGAATTCAGATTTTTTTTTAAATGTGTTTTTTGTTTTCGATGTGGCCCACTTCTGATCAGTTGGTGGCGGTAATGCACCCAAGCAGGTTTGCCAACCGCCATTAAATCGTAAAAGAAGAAGAGAAGCAGAAGAAGAAGAAGAAGAAGAAGAAGAATGAAGAGGTGGGATGACAGTGTTTAACGTTAGTTAAAATTCTGACCGCTGACAATAAACGGATGTAATAAAAGGAGTCTGCCTGTTAAACCAGTATTTCCTTGACCCAACAGAATAGACATTCCTGGTAAGTGAATTCTCTGTTTGATGTATTTTTTAGAGACACTGGAAGGTCACAGTAAAGCTTCAATAACTATTCACCAAAAATGAAAACGAAAGAAAATTAGTCAAATTATTATTGACGGTGTGACTAAAATTCGAATAACAGTTAATGTTTTTAAATTTTGCGCAGGGACAGCGGAGCTCTGCGGTGTATTTATTTGAAGTGATCTGCAGGAAACTTGGACATCTAATTTTAGTTTATTATTAGTTACTATATTTATTTTAACATGGCAGAGAGATAACGTTAATTCGTCCCAAAGTTTTCATCCCAAGGACACGGAGCTTACTGAATGCTTTGAGGATGTAGCTGTCACACAGGGCCTGTCCCATTACCTACATGTTGCGGTCTTTGCACTTGACCACTTGTGTACTTGATTGACCTATATTCAGTGGTGTAAAGTAAAAAAATACAAATTCTTAAACTACTGTGATCAAGTAGTTTTTCTCAGAAATGATAATTTACTTAGTAGTTTAAAAAAAAAAAAGCATACTTTTACTTTTCCCTGAATACATTTTTAGTGAAGTATTGGTAGTTTAACTCCACTACTTTCCTTCAACCTGCATGACCAATCAAATTAGAAGGTAAATCGCATCATATTGAACTACCTTGAGACATGAGTAATTTATAAATTAAGCAAACTTTGTTAAAAGAGTCCAAGAAAATGTCCAAAATGACCCACAGAAGAGTTTACTGCATGATAACCGAAATGTCCTCAACCACCCATCAGGCACAAGATGTCAACATCAGCCAGATTGACGTTGTACCCCAACGCCATGGGGACGTTGCATTTTGTTTGGTTATGAAAATTGGGTTGACATCAGAAGCCAATGTTAGGCCGACTTCAGTGTCCAACGGCTAACCTAAAATCAACCAAATATCAACATATTATGATGTTACAGCAATGTTACTTTTACACACATGCACAAATTACATATAAATGCATTTACAGCGTCATACTCTCCACTCTTAAGTACTTTTGAAAGGTCCACTTTTTACACAAACTTTGAGTAATATTCACAACAGATACTTTTACTCTACTTGCAACTACATTTTTATTCAAGTAATGGTACTTTTACTTTAATATGATTTTTTAGTACTTTTTCCACCACTGCCTATTTTTAGTATTTGACCCAAGTGTTCTAGTGGGCATAATTCGTGGACATGAAGACCCCAAGTGTGTGAACTTACCCAGTGGGACCGAGTAACGTTAAGCGTTGTAAAAGGAACGTTTTTACATCTCTTAATTTATACATTGTTATAAATATTTGTAAACATCTACATTTGTTTTAAGTTTCTTGTAATTAAACATATAACAATAAAAAGGAACTTGATAAAAATACACATAGAAAAGTGTACTTGTGTTTTAAAGTGACCATGAACACAAATATGGGTCATACTGACTAGACATGGGCCAAGATTCTGACAGAATGATAATCTTGGATAAAAATCCCATTTTTATATATATATATATAAATATATATATATATATATATGTTGAAGTCAGAATTATTAGCCCCCTTTTGTTTTTTATTTTCTCTTTTGAATATTTCCCAAATGATGTTTAACAGAGCAATGACGATTTTAAAGTATGTCTGATATTTTTTTTTTCTTCTTAAGAAAGTCTTGTTTGTTTTATTTCAGCTAGAATAAAAGTAGTTATTAATTTAAAAAAAAAACATTTTTGGGACAAAATTATTAGCCCCTTTAAGCTAAATTTTTTTCCGATAGTCTACAGAACAAACCATCATCATACAATAACTTGCCTAATTACCCTAACCTGCCTAGTTCACTATATTAACCTAGTTAAGCCTTTAAATGTCACTAAGCTGTATAGAAATACCTTGAAAAATATCAAGTAAAATATTATTTACTGTCATCATGGCAAAGACAAAATAAATCTGTTATTAGAAATACGTTTTTAAAACTATTATGCTTAGAAATGTGCTAAAACAATCTTTCCTCCATTAAACAGAAATTGGAATTGGGTAAAAAAAATAAACAGGGGCGCTAATAATACAGGGGGGCTAATAATTCTGACTTCAACTATATATATATATATATATATATATATATATATATATATATATATATATATATATATATATATATATATATATGTATATGTATATATATAATTATTTTTTTATGTCTGGGTAAAAACTAAAACATATTCATTTTTAAACACAATATATTTTATTTTGAGAAACATTTAAATTAATTTGGAATGGTAAACATGTCAGGCTGAATAATTTATTTGTATCATTGACTTCTTACCTTACCTTCGGAACAGCATAGCAGAAAATTTTGGCTTTTTTAATTCCTTGACTTTTCCAAACCGTGGACTACCTTGAAAACTGTTATCGTTCCATGTCTAATGCTGAAACATACTTGGATGTGAATAGCAACATTTATTGCAAATGTTTCATACTGTCATAAGTCCATCTCTTTTAAGAAGTCTAGATTCTGAATAATACTTTTATCGTCTTTTGCAGGTGAACGTGAGAAGATGGTTTTGAAAGAAATTCCCACAGAAAACATAACTCGCCCTTTGGGCCGGAATGAGGTCATAGGTTTACTCTTCCGTCTCACAATATTTGGCGCTGTCACCTATTTTACAATAAAGTGGATGGTTGATGCTATCGATCCAACAAGAAAACAAAAGGTTGAGGCACAAAAACAGGTAAGGTGTTTGATTTCAGCATCAGTTGTGTACATGAGTGTGCCTTTAAAGAAAAGGGTGTATAGTTCACACTATTAGCCAGATTTGTATACAGTAGTCAACATTTAAAGTGGATCAAAAGATTTTATCAAAGTTGTCCTAAAACTATTCAATAACACCCATTCTTGTCTCTGGTCAATTTTGAAAAGAAAAATAAAAGTGATCCACTTCAAGCGTTGACTACTGTAGTCTTTAGTCTGAAATATGCTTTATCATGAAATAATCATACATCGCTTTTAGCAACATGAATTACATCAGGATGTTCTCTTACATTACAATACTGAAAATATATTTTGGTTAGACTTTATGTTAAGGTACAATTCTCACTATTAAAGCATTAACTAAAACTAAGTTTGTTTAGTTCTTTCTTGCATCCTTCCTTCATTCATGTGTTCCTTTCTTCGTTCCACCCTTCATTCATTCATTCATTCATTCATTCATTCATTCTTTTGTCCTTTCATATTTTCGTTTATTCCTCCCTTCCTTCGGTCCTTACTTACTTTCTTTCTTGCTTCCTTCATTTCTTAATTTGTTCAGTTCTTCCTTTAATCGTTCATTCATTTGTATTATTGTTCCTTCCTTCAGTAGGTCATTCGTTCGTTTGTTCATTAGTTTGCTGATTCCTTTGTTTGTTCGTTCGTTCCTTCCTAATTTCCTGCCTTCCTTCATGCCTTAGTTTGTTTAGTCCTTTCTTTAATTGTTCATTTGTATTTTTGTTCCTTCCTTCATTAGGTCATTTGTTCCTACCTTTATTCTTCCCTACATTCATTCGTTTGTTCATATTTTTGTTCCTTTCTTCCTTCCTTTCTTCTGTCCTTACTTCCTTACTTTCGTTCTTCCTTCATTTCTTAGTTTGTTCAGTCCTTCCTTTAATCGTTCGTTCATTCATATTTTTGTTCCTTTATTAGGTCTTCCTTCCTTCCTTCCTTAGTTTGTTCAGTCCTTTCTTTTCACTTTCTTTCATTCATATTTTTGTTTCTTCTTTCATTAGGTCCCTTGTTCGTTTGTTTCTTCCTTTCTTTCTTTGTTTAGTCCTTCCTTTAATTCTTTCTTCATTCATTTGTTCCTTCCTTCGTTGCACCTTTCATTCATTTACTTATTCACTCATTCGTTCATATTTTTGTTTGTTACTTCCTCTGTCCTTTCTTAAATTGTTTCTTTATTCATTTGGTCATTCCTTTGTTCCTCCCTTCTTTTGTTCTCTTCATTTATTCGTTTGTTCGCTCCCTCATATTTTTGTTCCTTCCTTCATTAGCTCCTTTGTTCAGTCATTCATTAATTTCTTCTTTCCTTCCTTCCTTACATTGTTCAGTCTTTCCTTGAATCCTTCCTTCGTTCATTAGTTTGGTCCTTCCTTTGTTCGGTCCTCCCTTCCATTCTTCATTTGTTCCATTTAGTGATTGTTTAAGGCTGTTTGGTGATTTTAATCATCATACAGTGGACATCCTTCATTTTCTCATCAGTGACATGCAGTCTATAAAAAGTCTCAGGGTCATTGCGTGTAAAGATTTTGGACATCTTTTTGGACATTTTTAATGCTTCCAAAAGGTTTGCTGCATTTATAAAGCCCCCATGTATTGAGGTAGTTCAGTATATGTGTTATACACCACTAGTATACACCATTGATAAGTACTAATAAACAGTCAATATCTTAATAATAAACAGGTAATAAGCCAGTAGTTAATATTTGAAATTTGTATTTAAGCTAAACTAATTCTTTATTTTTATTTCTAATTCTAATCAAATAACAAAACTAATTTGACTTGAGCACATCTCAGCATAAAGCCTTGTGTAGTCTGTTCTGTGTTACTTGATGACGACATGATGAAGTTCACTTGAAGAGATAGTTCACCAAAAAATGAACATTTCTGTCAGCATTTCCTGTCCCTTCACCTGATCCAAACCTTTTTGATTTTTAAAATCTGTTGAACACAAAAGAAGATACTTTAAAGAATGCTGAAAACCTGTTACCATTGACTTGCATAGTAAGAAAAACTATGGAAGTCAGTACAGTAGTTACAGGTTTTCAGCATTCTTCAAAGTATCTTCTTTTGTGTTCAACAGAAGATAGAAGCTCATGAAGGTTTATAACCACACGAGAGTGAGTAATTAGTAAGTAATGTTCATATTTGGATGATTATCCCTTTAACAGACCCTGGTGTTTTGCTTATAACAAAAGGTTTGAATTCTGCATATAAAATCTTTGATATGTTTTCAGTAAGTCATATTTTTATTGTCGATAATAAGCTTTACTGTCCTCTCACAGGCAGAGAAACTCATGCGGCAAATTGGAGTGCAGAATGTGAAGCTTTCTGAATATGAGATGAGCATTGCAGCTCATCTTGTGGATCCGTTGACAATGCAGGTATGGAATGATGTCTCCTCCTTAAGACTTCATTTACTTGTATTTATTGTCTCTAGATCACATTTTTTCTTATTAATTATGCGAAAGTTCCACCAATGATTTCTCTGTGCCCACAGATTACATGGCATGACATTGCTGGTCTGGATGAAGTCATTACTGAACTGAAAGACACCGTTATACTTCCAATCCAGAAAAGGCATCTGTTTGAAGGATCCAGACTTCTTCAGCCACCCAAAGGTATAATGCCACTCACCAAACAATCTTGTTTACATCTAATAGACATCCAATAGACGTCTTAGCTAAAACAAGGGTATATTTGGGCTGTCAGTAATCAAATAAACTGAAATATCTATATTCAGTCCAAAATATTTGATGACTAGTCTAATTTTGGACTATTTTGAGACATACAGTTGAAGTCAAAGTTATTAGCCCCTCTGAATTATTACCCCCCTGTTTATTCTTCCCCCCATTTATGTTTAAAAGAGATATTTTTTAACACATTTATAAACACAATAGTTTTAATAACTCATTTATAATAACTGATTAATTAATCTTTGCCATGATGACAGTCAATTAATATTTGACTAGATATTTTTCCAAGACACTTTTATACAGCTTAAAGTGACATTTAAAGACTTAACTAGGTTAATTAGATTAACCAGGCTGGTTAGGGTAATTAGGCAAGTTATTGTATAACAGTGGTTTGTTCTGTAGACTATCTGAAAAAATACTGCTGAAAGGGGCTAATAATAAATTAAATTAAATTAAGGGAATAATTTAGACCTTAAAATTGTGTTTAAAAAATAAAAAAATATTTATTCTAGCTGAAATAAAACAAATAAGACTTTCTCCTGAAGAAAAAATATTATCAGACATACTGTGAAAATTTCCTTGCTCTGTTAAACATCATTTGGGAAATATTTAAAAAAAGAAGAAAAAAAAATCAAAGGGGGGCTAATAATTCTGACTTCAACTGTATGTTAGATTTTCACTGAAAGACCAAGTTTAGCCTTGTGTTAGCCAAGCTGTTTATGTTTAGACATCTATTTTAAACACAAAAATGCTTGCTAATTTGAAAAAGGGACATCAGTTATTTTAAAAAGTAATATACAACCGAGGTGATGATGCCACGACGCAAAGTGGATTTTTGTTTTTGAATAGCTTCTGTCTATAGTACTTTGCTGTGTCCCAATTCACATACTATTTATCCTAAGTATAGTATTTGAAAAGAGAATTACTAGCTGTGTCCAAAACGGCACACTATATACTTTGTAAAGCAAACAAAAAACAGAAATGTGCGCACATCTAAAAATCTCGAAGGCAGGTGCTCGATTAAAAAAAACAGTAGCAAAAGATCAAAAGAAAATCAGCACACTGCCCCTTTAGCTCTCAAAAATTCCTTTAATATCACTCACAAGGTTTCGACCTACATGGTCTTCGTCAGGTAAAACAATACATGGGAGTACTCAAGAAATATTGATACAGCTCTACAAATCACACCTGCAATCAATCACCACAATCAGCCAACAAGCCATTAAACAGGCACATATACATAGCATTTACCTGATTGTTTAGAGTTTTACCTGATGAAGACGATGTAGGTTGAAACATTGTGATATTAAGGGACTTTTGAGAGCTAAAGTGGCAGTGTGCCGATTTGCTTTAGATTTTTTTTACACTATATACTCTTTCCCCTTTGCACTGTGCACTTACAAACTCAACAGTATAGTATATGTATTGTATGTAGTGTCGTCCCAAATAGAACACAAATGTTCCTTTTTACTAATTACTAATTCAAACTGTTTCCCTGATGACGTTTGAAATTTGCCAAATTAGCAAAATAAATGACCAAAGTACCAAATAATACCTGCCATGAGTATAACCACATTCAGCATCGGGAGGCGGTATAATCACTCTCGTAGGAGAATTTTGCTTTCACAATCCAAAATAAATAATCCGCTTGTTAAGTGTGACGTCATGCGAAGCGGTTTATGGGTTCAAGCACTCTATGAAACTGAATGAGGAGACTCATCTAATGGTAATAATAAACGTTTATGAAGTGATGTAATACTTTGTAAAATCACGATCGCAATATATATATCTATGCCTAATATCCGATGGCCAGAAGGTGAATAATTCTTTATGAATTGTTAAAACTTTGGTATTTGTGATGCAGCAAGTCCAGAGACTGAGTGATTTGTATACTATAAGTTGACTTTAATGTGTGATATGACTAAAAAGTGTCCATAAACAAATATTTTCTTAATTCAAATGAGTGGACCAGTAGCGGAAACAGTATTTCATACGTCACCGATACGTCATGACTTAACAAGGGGATGTAATACAAATTGAGCGCCCGGAAGCTCCACCCCTTCCGATACGTGAACAAGGCTGCAACTAGTGAGTACTTGAAGTGTCCCATCATTCCACACTTCATTTTACCGGCTGAATAATTGCATGATCAAGGTAACTGAAGTACACTAATTATTTTTAGAGTTTTCAGTGTGAACGCACTACTTATACTACAAAATGGCATAGAATAGTGCATAAATATGCGATTTGGGATGCACCTACTAAGTCCTAAATCATAGTATGTTCTAGGGCTGCACAATTTTGAAAAGAATTAGCATTCTGATATTTTGTTCTCCTGCAATATACATTGCCTAATGAATAAACAAAATTCACCAGATGACTTAAATAGCTGTATTTGAATAGAAATGATCATTTTAGAAAGTTAAGATTCTGTAGGGGAGTGCATCTCTATACAATAAGTAAATGCAATAAAGTGTATTACAAATAAAATAAACAGTTCAAATTTTTTCAGAGGAGTCTAACAGTATTCAAGCACAGTAATGAAAAATCAAATGTAAAATTATGCTGCATAGTCTTTGTTTTATAAATAATTCAGTGAAATGTATTAACATTATTAACTGTACAGTTGTTTAGGCCTGAATGCTTTTAAAATCCTCATACAGTCACAGGCCTCAAAAACACATGCAAATGATCATTTGGTATGTCCAGACTCAACATTGCATATCTTAAGATGTGAATATTGCAAATGATCACGTTGAGATACCGATGCTGAAACAATATATTGTGTGCAGCCCTAATATGTTCTATGTTGAAATTGAGTATTGCAATGTTACCCAGATGATGTACTATTTCTGGTAGATAATGCAATTGCAATGGTTATGATTTAAGCTGATGTAAACGCATCAACCTGCCTTATTGTTATGGGTGCATATATTAATGTAATGTCAGGGCTCGAAACTGTGACTGTTTTGGTCGCTTATGCGCCTGAAATTTTATCTATGCGACCTCAAAATATATTTGGTAGCATTTGTGCGAGTGCATAATATTGATGTTATGTGACCAGTTTTCACAGCAAAATGTTTACCACATGTGCAGGCATTGTCACGCAATATACATCTTTGCACCTAAAAACACCAAACGCAGCATTCAGGAATGGTTTAAAACAGTTGTCATGTCAACTTGCTGCAGTAAACAAACCCCACAATGCGCTAGAACAGAACCTGAATGGATTGGCTAATATCAGCTGTCAATCACTCAGTTCCGATGACAGGGTGCTACAGCTGCGAAAATGTAGGTCTGGATACAAGAGAATGAAAACAACACTGACCGATTTAGTTTTAGAAACCACCTAAAGTTACAAATATTACAGCACAGTTATTATTGTTAATTCAGTTCATCTCAATCATGTCAAGCAGTGCGTGCAGGGCCGATGAGCGCATGCAGATTTTTTTTTTTTTTTTATTAGTGTTCATTTTACATGCAATAAATCTGTTAATATAAAACGTGTAGTAACTGCTCATAACTTTTATTTCTAGCCCTGAATGTGTTTTTTATATTAAATTAATCTTTAAAATTTTAAATTGATAGTAAATAAATGGCAAATAATTTAACTTGCACTTAAAAATACCATTTTAAGGAAATGGCACTGGTGTAAGCTACATTTTTAATTTAAAGTGTAGTGTATAAGCTTTCACCATGTAATACTCAGAACTCTTGAGTATATTTAGAAGCACTACTTTTTACTTATAATTCGAGTAGTACTTAAAACTGATACTTTTCCTTTTCTTGCAATACCTTTTTTACCACTGGACACTATAAACCCTGGAAAACAGCACTTGCAGTCAAAACAAGCCATTTGGTATACTTCTTGATTCCTGAAAAAGAACAAACTCAAAAATGTTTCCATAAAGTTCACAGTGAAACTCCAGACCTTAATCTGAGGAGGTTTTCTTGTCATCTTCTTCTAAGGTGTGTTGCTGTATGGGCCTCCAGGCTGTGGGAAAACTCTCATAGCCAAAGCTACTGCCAAAGAGGCTGGTTTCCGTTTCATCAACCTGCAGCCATCCACTCTCACAGACAAATGGTACGGAGAGTCCCAGAAACTGGCTGCAGCCGTGTTTTCACTGGCCATCAAGCTACAGCCCTCCATTATCTTCATCGATGAGATTGGTAAATGCATATATTTAATTCCTAATGTTGTAGTTTAGCATGGCAGGTTTATGGAACATCTGTATTTATTCAAAATTAGAGCTTTTTGGCTGTTTTAAAGGCACTGTGAAGTGCTTTGAAATGTGCACTTTCATTCAATGTTTGACGTAATCTCAACTGAAAAGTGAAGAAAGTAGTTCCTCCCTTTTTTTAAAAACAGCCAAAAGAATTTTGTTTTTATTACAGCTCTGCTATTGACCGTGGTTGAGATCCAGTGCATCAAATGTGAAACTTCTTAAATGGGGGCGGGACATATCAGACACAAGAGAGAATTTGATTGGTTAGAAGATTTGATTAGAAACTGAAGTTTGAGGTGAAAAAATCGTTTATCCATTTACGCCAAGGGTGTCAAACTCATTTTAGCTCAGGGGAGGAAAATCTATTGCAAGTGGGCTGGACCAGTATGGTGTATATATATATATATATATATATATATATATATATATATATATATATATATATATATATATATATATATATATATATATATATATATATATATCCTTAAACAACAACTTCAGATTGCTTTCTTTGTTTTGATACGATCAACATAAAACATAAAGCCGGAGCCTGAGGAAAACACTCTCACAGCAATTCTTAACTTTTTGATTTAGTGGCTAATTCATATGAATTCATACGATCTCATCCGTACAATTTAGTACAGTTTGCTTATCCACCAATGACGGTTGGGTTTAGGGGAGTGGTTTGATGCCACGCCTTCTTTTTATATCATACATTTTGATACAACCTAACTCGAATTGAATCCGAACTGTAGGAATTAGCCACTAAACTGACAAAACGTAAAATAGTTACGTTTCATTGTGGGAACACCTCAGTTGGGTATGGCAGGGCATAGATGTGGTCTTTCTGTCTGAGAAGGCTGTCAAACCGATGCTGATTCAGGCTACTGGATTAGATGAAATTAACAGTTTGCTATTGCGCCATTTAAAGAACACAATTGGAACAGCAGTATCTTTTATCGAAAAATAGCAGCTCATTTTATACTTTACAGCAGGGATGTACAGACATGCGGCCTCATGTATCAACACTGCGTACGCACAAAAACTTTGCGTACACCAGGTTTCACGCTCAGAATCACTCACGTTTGGGTTTACTAACGATGAACTGAACGTGGGAATGTGCGCAGATTCACGGCAGCTTTCTGGCTGGCGTACGCACAATTTTTGTGCGTGTCTGTTATATTTCCATTGGCGACTCCTAGAGGCAGTTGTGTTAAATTCCTCTCTACAAAGTGTCTGAGCCTTGCAATGGCAGCTGTAGTAGACGGGTTCATCTAGCAGGTAAATAAGGTTTTCATACCATACAGTTGACCAGCTAAACATTAAAGCACAATTTGCAGCGGTCGCCTGTTTTCCCAATGTAATCTAAGCGATCTACCGCATGCACATTGCTTTAAAGGCACTATCTGAAGATAAATTTGCATGCGTGAATCAGAAACATTTCCATTCAATAAATATGCAAATAAAATATGATGCACAAACTTCTTAATGATTCCTACTTGTCTTTCTCGTGATAATTAGTTGGCAAAATCTGATATGTAGCGGGGGAAAAAAGAAGAAAGAGTTCATCAGGCGCTGGATTCGAACCGAGTTCATGCTCGAACGTGTCAAAATATAATATTCTGTGTCTTACGAGCTGCGCCACTTAGACTGATATAAATGCTGCAACATTTTACACCTATAAATCACACTATTTCTTTTTTAATTCACTCGGTGCGATGTTCAGACCCAACTGTGTTAACCAAATTAGCTAAACTCTCCCCACTATATTTTTTTCTTTTGTTGTTAATTCCGGAGAACAAACTTGCAACAAACATGAGGCCCCTGGTCCTGGATGGCCGGTGTCCTACAAAGTTTAGTTCCAACTTTAATCAGACACAGCTGGCCTAGCTAATCAAGCTCTTACTAGGCAGTCTAGAAACACCCTTGCAGGTGTGTTGAAGCAAGTTGGAGCTAAAATCTGCAGGATACCGGCCCTCCAGGACCCCCTGTTTGGACACCCCTGCTTTACAGAATCATTTCGCGGGTCGGAATAAACCCATTTGCAGGCTGTACGTTTGACATAAATGCAAATTTTGTCAATGTTTTGAAGCACACTAGCTTATTATAGATATCCTTAAGACTAGCATACTTATACTCCCATTTTAAAAAGCTTTTTTTAGTAACATATATATATTTTTGAAGTAACACATATTCTTCATGTTTTAGATTCCTTTTTAAGGAATCGCTCAAGTTCAGATCATGAAGCCACGGCTATGATGAAGGCTCAGTTCATGAGCTTATGGGACGGCCTCGATACTGACTACAACTGCCAGGTACAATCGAGCATCTGTTTGTGTTTGTTGTGCAATTCTTGTGAAGTTTAATAGTTTGATTACTTGCGTAAGTTTCTTTACCCATCTGATGTGTTGTGGTCGTTTTTTTGCACGAAGGTCATAATAATGGGAGCCACCAATCGGCCACAAGATCTCGATTCTGCTATTCTCCGAAGGATGCCTACAAGATTCCACATCAATCAGCCTGTAAGTCCACTGATATTAGCTCAATGTGGTTCACTTTTTCTTGGAAATAGCCTAATTTATTTTTTTTTTAAGTTGAGTTTTACCATTTTTGAACTAATTCTGCGAACCCTGTATGCACTTTTAGCTTAGCTTAGCATAAATCATTGAATCAGATTAGACCAGTAGCATCTCTATGGAGCTAAAAATATGCCGAAACAATCTAAATTTGAATTGTGTTATTTTTAATTATTAACAATCGTAATTTAATAAATCAGAATTTTTATATGCTGTTAATAATGTCTTGAATTTGAATTTCTTGATTTGAATTTGATAACTTTAATATTGAACATCTGAAATTTAAGACAACTGAGTTTTTCAAGGCAAAATTTTTATAGACTCATTTTCATTTTCAAAACACAATTTTTTGTGTTCTGAATTCATAGACTGCAGATATTGAGTTTGTAAAAATACAGTTTCAAGTTTTCAAGATTATGAAATTCAAATTGTGAAATTCCAATTCATCAGAAAGTGTGTCAGGGGTGATCAACAGAGAAGAGTAGATAATCACCGAAAACTCAAACTAAAGTCCCGTTAACACTAGTGCGTTTTAGTTTTAAAACAGCGTTTTAGAATGAAAACGATCCGCGTCCACACTAGCGTTTTACCCAGCGTTTCTGAACAGCTCTCTGTCCACACCAAAACACTGAAAACGCACATCACGTGACCACACACACACACACACACACACACTCTCTGGCATGCGCTGCAGCCTATCTACCCAGATGAGAGCTGTGCTCGTCAGACTGCTCATCAAGCATCTCCCGCTGGATCTAATCTCACTATATTTGTTAAACGTGATATTTCATTCATCTTGTTGTCTTTATCTAACAACATATTCCCCTACTTTGGTCTTTTGAATCTATTACTTGTTGTTCTTAGGTAACGAGTTTTGGCTGAGCGCAAAGATAAGTTAATAATTAATGTAACCACGTACATTCTGTATATTGACTGATCACTTGCCTTTATTTCCTATAATGTATAAACTTATTGTATGTTATACTTTTATAATGGCCATTATCGATTATTAAAACTAATATTCTGCAAAAGAGTGGGTATGTTTCGTATTTTCACTGAAAATGCAAGGAGGCAGTTGTTATAGGCTCCGTTTTGTTGTAAATATCCACACAGTGAAGATGACGCTCATAAATGCAGCACAATGCCTCAACATTTCTGCTGTCTGTTAAGGTGTTAACATTAAATTGAAAATAGGCAGTTCCTTAAATCATGTTTTCATTTTATTGTTGAGAAAGTGAAACAACGTAGCCAGGGTGATGTGAATGAGGTTATAAACTGTTAACTTTGAAGATTTAGCCGTGTCTTCGGGAGTCTGTTTTCCATATCCAACTTGCAAAGTCTGAACTTACAAGGAGAGGATGCAGGGCTGAACTATGTGTAACGTTAGGCTACTTAATATTGAGGGAAAGCCCCAATCAGATAGGTAAATGTTTGCAGCCCCGTCTCCATTTTTCCCTATCCACACTGAGACGAAGCAGCAGCGTTTTAGATTGAAAACGGCCTCTTCAGCGTTTCCAAAATGCTCCACTTTCGGCTCTTGAAAAAACTCTGGCATAGTGTGGACGGATAGCGTAACCGTAGAAAAACGTATTCGTTTTAAAACTTATTAAATCAGCCTCAAATCTCCCAATGTCCTCATGTTAGTTCTGTAACCCATCAGAGGGTATAGTATAGGTCGGAATCGGCTCTTTATCTCTCAAAACACTGAAGACACAAATAAGTTTGATTAACGAATGAGATGCTATTGAATTAAATATATAAATTTGCTTCACTGAAGCATGTATGTTTATTAAACAAACTTTTCGGTGATCGTCTACTCTTCTCTGTTGATCACCCCTGACCTACTTTCTGCCGAATATGAATTTCACAGTCTGAAATTCTGGTTTCGAATTTTAGGATATTTAATTTGATGTTCTGAATTTGTTCATCTTGAAAGCTTGAAACTGTATTTTTACAAACCCAATATCTGCAGTCTGTGAGTTCACACCAGAAAAATCTGAAGTTTGAAAATATGTATATAAAAATTTCTACCTTGAAAAATTCTTCTGTCTTAAATTTCAGATGTACAATATTCAAGTTATCAAATTCAAATGAAGAAGTTCAAATTTAAAACAATTTTAACGGCATATAAAAATTCTGATTTATTAAATTACAATTGTTAATAATTCAAATTACCACAGTTCAAATCAGATTGTTTTGGCATATTATTAGCTCACATTATACCTCTCATTTAAAGAAATGCAAGAAGACTTTTGATAATTTTCCTATTTAAATTTTGACTCTTCTGTAGTTACATTGTCTACTAAGTCAGACAGAAAATAAAAAAAATTGCTATTTTCTAGACTGATACAGCTAGGAACTATACTTTGTCATTTATTTCTGTCAGTCTTGGTACACGATGTAACTAGGGTTATCATGATACTAGAATACGATACCAATCGGTACTGAAATTTTTAAAACGACCCATTTCCGCTAACATTTGAGCACTATGGGGCACGTTCCTAAATAGCACTGATTTGCCATTGGGTTCACATGCTCAACAGAAATGACTGATTGGTCGTGAAAGTCATCGGTTCACCAAAATCACAGCTATTTACTGATCGAAACGACAGATACAGGGACACTGGATTGGCAGTGTTTAGGAACGTGCCCCACAGTGCTCAAATGTTCACGGGAAATGGACGTTTTTGAAATTTCAGTACCAATTAGTATTAAGTTCTAGTATTGTGACAACCCTAGATGTAACTACTGAAGCGTCAAGCTTTAAATAAGAAAATGATCAAAACTATTATTTGAATTTTTTGAGAGAAATGCTAACAGTCTAATCTGATTTAATGATTTAACCTAGAGAGATCGGCTAAATGGAATCAAAAATGATAAAACTTGACTGTTTAACTCAAGGTGACTTGTAAAAAATGCAAGGTTTCTTTAAATAAAAATGTTTATTTCACTTCTGAATCATTAAACTCGGTCGAAGTACTACTGATAAATGAGTATTTGTTGTGTATTTAGAATGTCAGGCAGAGGAAGGACATCCTGAAGCTGATCTTGGAGAATGAGAACGTGAGTTTCTGTAATATTATAGTTTGTTTTACAGACGCTAAGACACATTTCTCAATACTTGGGTCACTTTTGCAAAACTCTTCATACAATCCTCCTAACCTACTTTTAGTTTGGCAAAGCAGTTCATTACACATTCAAAATGCACTACAACTACCAAAACATTTTATTCAGGTCTCAAATAAACTTATTCTTCTAGAACACTAGCAAAGGTTGACAGCCGAAAAACACCATCACCCACAAAACAATGACCTAAAACCCTAACAATATGTAGCATTACACGGTGTCTTGTGTAAAACAAGGACACTTCTCTGTTTACAACTGCAATATATGTCACTGGAATGAATCAGACATGATGCAGAATTCATCGATATTTTAAGTTGTTTATTTATTTATTTTTTTCGCACTAAGTAATTCCAAAATACAAGAATTTGTATACACAGCATCTGATCAACTAATCTGCTGGTTATACTTCATTATTAGATTTGAAACATGTTTCAATAAACTATTGCTATTGAATTTTGCTGTCTTATTCAGTTTTGCATTATGTTATTGTTTTGAACACAAGTTTAACAGTTTTGAAAACAGTATGCAAGCATGTGCAAAACGTCCTGTACATATAAAGATTTTTGGCAGTTGTTGTTGTGTCTGAGTGAGAAAAGAATTCATGAAATTTGAGAGATGTAGTCATTGAATGCATTTCGTGCCAAAACAATGATAATTGATCCTGTTTAGTCCAATACCAATAGTACTCTTTTGGAGGTTAGGGTTAGGAAGTCTCATTTCGTCATTTTCGCTCGAGGAAATGTCTACAGTAAAGCTGTATGGGTCATTCACATATCATATTAGAAGCACTTCTCACAAAACAGATGCTTCATACACATAAATACTTCTGTATAAATGTTAATTACTTACTTTTCTATGAACATGATTTGATTATAACTGCAGATCAATGACACTGCAAAATAGCCTACTGTAACGTCTGCGATTATATAAAATAAATTAATTAATGCACTGTATATGAACACATACAGACACTTACAGTCTCTGATATGTTACCATTTACAGAAAAACTACACACAGCATACATTTAGTCCTTATTCGGGTTTAAAAACAACAGGAAATATAGCCTACCGTCAGTGCAAACCTCTAATCTGTGTCTTTAATCTTCAGCAGCACATTTTTAGAAAGGGATTCCACCCTTCCGAGTTCATAATCGTCCAAGAGGTGATGATAACAGTTAAACATGGCAGTTTGTTCATGTTTCAGGTTGCTGACGCATCATTTGCTGCTGTTTTTTTTCCGGGTTCTCCTTTGATTTTTGTCACGCTTCATCCTCGCATATGCTCTTTTCTGACAGGATTGGATATCAAAGTGCTTTAATAATCATGAGCAGATTATTAATATGAGCTTAAAAAGTTTGTTATTTCAAATATAGACGAGATCCTGAGCTCTCTAGACAAAGTGAAACTGCTCGCACTGTTAAAAACAACAACAGGGCACAGCAGATTTTGTTCTTCTAGGCTTTGTGGCTCTTCATCAAGACGACGACAAGGTTTGCTTGAGCTCGGGTTGACCACGGCTCTTTATTACATGTATATAATATTACGGTGTAATGTCTCAGCTGTGTATTTAAAACATGACGGTTCCTTTGTTTTCATTTTGGCTTGGTGTGCAGGCGAATGACGCATCTCTGTAATCCAATAGGAAATTTGGAAAGGGTGCCGCAAAAGTGGTACGGTTTGATTTGGTATGCCTTTTAACAGTGGAAACGGCCGTAAAAGTGTACTGTACCACACCACTCAATGGAAGCGGGCCATAAGTATTGAGAAAATGTGTCCGATGACTGAAAGTTGCTAGTGCTGAAAGAGCACGTTTTCTTTTTCTGAAGGTGGAGTCCGCTGTGGAATTAAGTGAAATTGCAAAGCAGACTGATGGGTTTTCTGGAAGTGACCTTAGAGAGATGTGCCGAGATGCTGCTCTTCTGTGTGTGCGTGACTTTGTTCACCAAGAAAGGTAAACATTTCAAAAAACTTGTCTTTATTTACTCACCCTTCATCTTTCATAAACCTTTATGAGGTTCTATTTGGTGTTGAACAGAAAAAAAAAATCAATAAAAAGAACCAAATTACATTACTTGGTAAGACCTCAATGTAATGTAATGCCTCATTCACATCAGCTGCAACTTTGTAGCTGCCTGTCAATCTGGGTGGCGATCTGCTGCAAACGCAGGTCTGTGTAGGTCTACAGCATGGAGATTAATATGGGCCTCTGCGGGAGCTGAGAGAGGATCTTGTGAGCTCTACTGATGGTCCTTTTGGCCGTCGCTCTTCATTTGCATAAAGTTGAAGGATTCTTAACTTTGTTGCGTCGCTTAAAACGCACCCAACAGTCACTGTCACTCGCGTAGACAGAGGTCACCAGAAATCGCTCACTAAATTGTTGCTTTGCCGCTGCGAGTTGCTCATAGTGTGAATGAGGCTTTCAGAGAACTGTTATTTTTAACACATAACATGACAATTATACAAGTCAAAAAGTATATATTCCAGTGGGTTTATTATAAAAGGTTCTATAAAACCATCATGTAGAAATTTTGTTAACTGTATAAATGTTTTTTTTTTGTTATTGTTATTAAATTTTAGAAAGTGTTCAAACTAAAGTGAAGCTCTGGTCAGATCACACAATTTTTGTCATGATTTCGGCACGTCATTTCCTTTATGTTGGGTGCCTTGGGGAGTTGTAAAGATGCCGTTTTAAACTAAAGATGCTGTTTTAAACTGTAAAGAGGCCGTTTTAAATTGTAAAAATGCCATTTTAAATTATAAATATGCCATTTTAAACTGTAAAGATGTCATATTTAAACTGTAAAGATGCCTTTTAAACTGTAAAGATGCCATTTTAAATTGTAAAGATGCCATTTTTAACTGTATAGATGCCGTTTTAAATTATAAAGATGCCATTTTAAACTGTAAAGATGCCATTCTAAAATGTAAAGATGCCGTATTTAACTGTATAGATGCCGTTTTAAATTATAAAGATGCCATTTTAAACTGTAAAGATGCAGTTCTAAACTATAAAGATGCCGTTCTAGAATGTAAAGATGCCGTTTTAATGTTAAACATGCCATTCTAAATTGTAAATATGCCAAGTTACATTGTAAAGATGTCATTTTCAAATTGTAAAGATGCCATTTTAAACTGCAAAGATGTCATTTCAAATGATAAAGATGCCATTTTAAACTGTAAAGATGTCGTTTTACATTGTAAAGATGTCATTTTAAATTATAATGATGCAGTTTTAAATTGTAAAGATGCCTTTTTTAACTGTAAAGATTTCGTTTTAAATTGTAAAGATGCCTTTTTAAATTGTTAAGATGCTGTTTTAAATTGTAGAGCAGTAATCACAATACCGTGAAACCGTGATAATTTTTATCCAAGGTTATTATACTGTCAGAATCTTATACCGGCCCATGCTTTATCAGAACATCAGTAATGACTGCATTTTTCAATTGTGGGAAGGGTGCAGACCCTGAGCAAAGAATGATCTTTTCATAAAATACAATTTTCTTCTATCCCATAACAGTCCAGAGGAAGACTTCATCCGTCCCATCAGGCAGGAAGACTTGCAGAGGGCAATCGAGAAAATGAAGAAGTCCAAATCTGCAGGAGTGCATGAGGCATTTATGCAAGTACCACTGGACTAATCCCGATGCTGCTGTTTTAAAAAAAAGATCAATTTAGGATCTGGCCTTTTTTCTTTCTTATTTGTGACATATCGTCCTGTTTTGCAAAAGGGGGAACTCAGGATTTATAAAAGGTGGAATGGAGGCTTTTTTCTGATTATCATTTATTGCACTGTAATTTCTCTATTTTGCCATCCAGTAATGAACCTCTTTCACAAACGAAGTGACTTTCCGAGTAAAGCGTGTAAAAACCATTCCTAAGTAAATTCACCCATGAAATTCAGTGGGACGGTTTATGAGAGAATGAAGAGTTTACAAGAAAAAGGTTCATTGTGTTTGTAAGTTGGGTTTGGATTGTGTGGTTTTGTTTCTGTGAAATCCTATGAAAAGTTTATGAAGATGTTAACAACAGTGTAGTTAGAGATGGCTCACACAAAAATGAATATTGTCATCGTTTACTCATCCTTCACTTGTTCCAAACGGGTTTGGTTTTCTTTCTTCTGTTGATCTCAAAAGAAGACAATCTGAAGAATGTTGGGACAAAACAGCCATTGACTTTCATTGCATTTTCTGTGGATGCCAATGGCTGCTGCTTCAGAATATTTGAAGAAAAAAATTTTGAACCACTTGAATATGAGAAAATGATGGATTTTAAATTTTGGGGTAAACCATCTCTTTAATATGTTTGAGTACAGGGCACCTAATTTCCCCCGCAATAATTATTGAGCTAATGTGTAAAATCTATTTTAATTTTCAACTGTTCTCCAGTAAATGAGATTGAATGAGATTTATTTGCCTTTCACATTGAATAAAATGCTTTAAGGATGTCTATTTTGGAATTAGGCTAACTTTACAAATCCCCTAGAGATAAACAGTCGGGTTTTACCAGTTTTCAACCCATTCAGCCGATCTCTGAGTCTGGCGGGAACACTTTTAGTTTAGCAACTTAGCTGTTGCACCTTAGCTGTACCACATGCTCCGCTATTGTGTGGCAATATTACCTAATAATCTAGCTGGGGACTTTTTACAGGTGCTGCATAATATCAGTGCTCCTACTTCAGCCATTGTAGAGTAGCACAGTTCCTTGATTATTATGCAGGAATGAGAGTATAGTTCCTAGCTATATAGCGAACGTACAAAATAGCAACTTTTCATTTTATGTTGGTCTTAGTACATGATGTAACTACAGAAAAAAAATCAAGCTTTAAATCTGAAAATGATCTTATTAATTTTTTTTAAGTGAGATGATACTGCTCTAATCTGATTGAGTGATTTATGCTAAGCTAAAACAGGGCTCTGCAGGTTTCAGGAAGTTAAATTTAAGACTTTAAGAGATTTTTAGGACTATTATGAATCATACTGGGATAAACGCTAAGGAATGGCCCAGTTGGATGTTTTCTAATTTTCCTTATCAAAAAGCTTATTATAATTTAATACATTTAATAACATAATGATAATTTTAAAAAATTATATTTTAGATTGTTAGCGTTACTATTAGATATGCCCTCACACTGCCAATATCATGTGTTACCTGCATTCCATATATTGGACATATGCGAATGAATGCATTCCAATTCAGCAGAAAACCGAGAAGAGAAGTGTGTTATTTACTTCTATGTAATCCAAGATTATTTACCGATTATCATACACAAAAATGACTGCGCCAACATAGATATTTCTTAGAAAATATTTTAAATATTGTGTCAAAACAAGCAAGCTCTAGTTGTAAAAAATGCTTTTTTCAACTTTCTTTAAAAAAAAAAAAAGAGCATGTTTTAAAAGTTTTGAAAACTATAAAAAATTAAATGTATGCACAACAGTATGTCCAGGTCCATGTCCACAGCAGTAAATACACAGACAACTTTTTAACAAATAAAATAATTAAACCATCATGATAAATACAGTTTAAAAATGATACAGTTAAAATAAATAAATAAATAAAGTTTTAAGTTTTATTGAGATGGATTGTTGGTGATTGTATGGGTGTTAATGGCCAGATTGGGTCGCTATACATGAACAAAGGAAAATTAAGACCTGTTTTAAAAAAAAATTGAAGACCTACACAATATTTCAGTAAATTTAAGGCCTAAAATTCTGTTTTGGAGATTTAAGACATTAAAAAGTGTCTTAAAAGTGGTCCCGCCAGACCTGGAGATCACCTGAATGGGTCAAAAAAAAAAAAAAAGATAAAGCTGCGGTCACACTAGAGTTTGAGCATGCAAACTTCTATCATACAGCGCTCCGAAAAGGGGCAGGATTAAACAAGATAATTAGACATTTTAAAAAGCGAGGGATTGGTCCAGGTTTTAAATTTCTGTCCAAAGAGGTCATGTTTTGATCCTCGATTGGTCTCACGCAGTCAAATGATGTGATTTCGCAGGTCAGATTCACCAAGCTTGAACTTTGCAACACAGCCAAACTTGTTGAACGAGCTTTCATTTCCGATCTGACGCATTCGTGTGCGTATGAACAGAAGTTTATTTGAAGTACAGTCCAGTGTGACCGTAGCTTAAGCTGTTGAACTCTAGCTGACTTGTTAATTGAGCCTATTTACAAAGAAAAAGTGAAATGTTCGTTTAAGCATAGTGGTTATATGATGGCCTGTTGTATAAATATTTATTTGCATAATATTAAAAATGCTTGAACTAAAGTATGCGAGAGCCAGTGCCAATCCGCTGCTGTTACATGTACCCATCTGTCAGGTGTTATTTTCTCAAGTTCGAGTCGAGGATATGAATAATGAAAGGCTATTCTTCTGAAACTGGTCTATGGAGGGAAAACCCATTTAAGATGGCCACAAATGTTTTTCCCAATTCGCACCAGCCAACTACTCAAGTCAGTTTAGCCATCTTTAGGCTACAGAATAGATTTAAGATGCTTCATTTACTCTGCACAAGGATGAATGACCATGGTTTTGTCTTAAGTTTATTGGAATGGCTGCCCAATGCAAAGTACATCCAATGTTTTAGGAAATGATGTAAATCTCAAGTTTGTACAAAAGACAGAATGAAGTAAATGCATTTCATGTAAAATAATAAATATGTTTAGGTTGGTCCGTTAAAAAATGGCAAGATAATAAATATGCTCTTGTTCCTTCACATTGGATTCCTCAAGAGTTTCATGTTTATGCAATCAGCATAAAACGTTCACATTCGCACATCGTCCTTTACAGTAACTCATTCATTTGGGAACGTAACAGTAATGCCACATTTACATTAAGGCACACGGAAGTGTCAACATACATTTGACTTTCATTACACTCTCCTGATTGTTTTTCAATTCTTAAAAACAGTGTAAAGGAATTGTCTTTGTATAAAATGAGTGTAAGACAAGCATATCAATGTAAAACTTTAGACGAGGTAGGCGATAAATTGGTGCTATTACTCTCAGGCCTTGTTAGGTCTGCTTGATAAGAAGTTGTGCAGTTTGATCAATCAATGCTTGTAATACAGAGTAACCTAAAATATACTTCAGTTTTGTAATTTGCATGGCATAAATATAGATATCATTTATCTAAAAGTGTGTGGTACATATTAGTCTAATAATGATTTTTTGATATCTTAGTACAATGTAAGATTGTAGTATATCATTCTTTTTGTGAAGCCATTTCTATGAATCCTACAGAAGTGGATATAGAGCTGTGCTGTTTGTGCGTGTGTACTGCAGAGTGTTCACTGGTCTTTCTTCAGAGAACTGTAATACTCCACCAGGACTTTCCATGCTTTGGGAGCCATGAAGCCATCGGGAGGGTTTTCTCCGCTGCGTGCAAGGCTCCGCATTTTGGTCCCGGAGATGAATTCAAATTCGCCATGTCTGTAAAACACAAAAGCAGTCGACTTGAGTTGCAGATCAATAGTCAGTATCTTGTGTTAGATCTGAGATTAATCAAATTTGTATATAGAATGGGTCAAAGTCAAAAGGGTAGTACAGGTTACTTTTTTTTTACTCTTCATATATTATAGCATGTCCTGTTTATTTTTGTCTTAATTAAAAATGTATTTCAGTGTAACAATTTTTATATTACCAAAGCATCTTGTCGGGTACAATTAAAGCTTGATGATATGTTTATATACTTTAAGGATCACAGCCTCAAAATATTATTTAAACCACTAGGTTAAACCCATTTGTCAGCAAGAAGTTAGATTAGGTTAGATTAGAACTCCTATCATACACCCAGTGCAATAAGGAGCAAATGTTTTGTGCAATTTGTTGTTATTTTGAGACTAGCGAAATACTAATTTCACATTTTGCACCACGTTGTGTAAATAGCAAATTCATTTGTGCCATTTTATGGACTCACTGGTGTTCAGGTCAAAAAAAAGAAGTGTGTTAAGGCGCGTTGCTATTTTGAGGATTTGAAATAGACTGCGCCATTGACCAACTGAAAGCTAGTCTAAAGTCCAGCACAGTGCATGTCGGTTATGCGCCTATGCGTCCAAATGATTACACATTGCTTATTACACATAAGATGTACAGAAATACACAAACATCTTTTTAAATAAAAAAAAATTAAAGGATTATTATTTTTTACATAAATATAAAAAACAACTGCTTCCATGCCGCCTTTATCTCAGGGGGGCTTTTTCAGTTTATTCATGACAGTTTGGTTTTTTATAATGTTATTAATAGTAGTAGTAGTAGTAGTATTTATTATATGCATATTTATATATTTTTTTTAAAAAAAGTTTAGATTTGTCCACCTGTCGGGTTTTGGACCATATGGGGCATAAGAATAGGATGTGTGTTTGGATACAACCACTTTTTTGATCACATTTAGTTATTATTGTTCATTTACTCATTATCTGGAAATTAGAACTGAATTTAGAAATAGTTTTGAAACAAATCTTTGTGCTTAACTAACAAAATTAAAAATGTAGGCTAATGGATGTCTTCAGTGGAGTGCGTACAACATGGTGTCCTTTTCCACGAAAGTAAAGGTGTAAAAAGTAAAGAGGCCGAATGAAGCAGGCTTGTTCATTACCCTCGCGCTGCAGATTGTCTGTTTAACCGTTTTCTCGCTAGTGAAGCGTTCAGCTTTTACACTTACAAAGTTCGCCATGTAAATAGCAAATGTGCCCTGGCGCAACGCTACTAACTCTTAAAGGGAATGTGAGATTAGACTCTGATTGGTTTAATGCACAAGCTTTGTTAGATCATGCACAGTGGTGCAGAGCGTTTTATTTTTATTTTTTTGTCCCTAAAATAGCAAAAGTGGATTCGGACAAGCCCTTAATGCTTTTGTGCCATGCGCTTTAGACTTTGCACCTAGATCGTTAAAATAGAGCCCAAGATGTTTTTACTCAATTTACTTAAAAATATCTTTAAAGGATTGATAGTTCACCCAAAAATTAATTTATGTCCTTTATCTGGGTTTCATTCTCCTGCTGAACACAAAAGAAGGTATACAAAAGAATATTGCAAAAAAAAAAAAAACATTGAGATGGCTAGATCACACTCTTCACGCCAGATAAATAAGATCTAGCCCCGGACGCCAGATCCTGTCAGAAAATGTCTGTTGTCTGAGAATCCCAACAACAAGCCAGCAAAGCCTCCGAATACCCAAACCTGTTAACCAGTATTCAATTAAATAACAATATAAATATCTGCTTTCAATATAAGAGTTGACTAAGAAAGCTAGAGACGAGCAGAAGGAGACGAATGATGATGATAAAGAAAAAGGTTTATTGAATAATCTTAGTTGCGAATGAATTAATGCTTAGACTTCACTTGACCAGGATAAATCCAACAAGTGTTATTATACCACAAGTGACATCAAAGGAAAATTACTCTTATCTCTTACTCTTGAAAACAAGTGTGGCTTGAATCCACCGTCATAAGATTATAACAATGTGGAAAAATGTAATAATAATAATAATAAAGCAATAATTATAGGAAAATAATAATAAAATATAAAGACATAATAAAAGACAAATAATAATCAAATCAAACTAATAATCAGTAAAATTATATAATTGACTAAAGATCATATGATTAAAAAAATAACTAAATGTAGAATAAATGAATATAAATAAATGAAAACACAAATGAACAAATGAAATGAACACAAATGAATGGTTGCTTTCTTGAAACAACACACACACATTTGCTACAAGGATTCTCAGATCCTTAGTTTGATTCTTCAGGATCCGTAGAACTTGTTTCCTATTATCATCCTACTATGTATGCTAATGGCTGTTTTTTTTTTTGTGTTGTTTTTTTTTCAATGTTCATCAGAATATCTTGTTTTGTGTTCAACAGAACGCAACAATCCAACAGTTTAGAACCACTTAGGTGTGAGGAAACTGTCAGTTTTGGGTAAATTATCCTTTTAAGAGAGAGAGCTAAAAGAGCTTAATTTGTGCTCCCAAGATGAACACAGATCTCAGGACATTGGATTGATGTGAGTGTGAATAATTATTTTTATAATTAACAGAATTTTCTTTATGGGTGAACTAACCCTTTAACAGAGCAAAAAGAGAAAGCCTCAGTTGATAAATATCTAAGTCAGGGTTAGGGAATGACGTTTTCCAAAAAAATAAAAATAATAATAATAATTTAAAGTACAAACCTTTCCTTGTCGTAGAAATCCATGGCTCTCTTAACCCTGTTGTAAGCAGCAACTCTGAAAGGAATAATCTCTAGAGAGGTGAGGCCTGGTGCCATGGTCAACACTTTTCCACCGTGTGTGGGCTCATACAGGTCCTGCTTTGTCTCCGGATGGGGCATACCTGCAGGATCTCGTCCTACAATGTAAAAGTTGGCCCCTGCGATCATCCTAGCCCGACAATGCCATTGTACCTGTAAGAGTCATTTTATCTAGTTCAGAATGGTGATTTGTACTACACCTAGGTATAACCAGTCAAGAGGTCTTTCCTATTCTGCAGCCTGGTGAGTGAGAACTGGATTTAACATGTAAACTAAAAAATCAGACAATTACAGAGGTATTTAGCATTTATGTGCCGCCTCGATTACAGAATATGCATTGTAGACCTCATATAATGACTGACTGCAAAGCATTGTGTAAGTCTGGCATATTCGGCACCCTTAAAACATCACAAAAATCACTTAAAAGTCCTGTAAAGTGCTTTGAAATGTGCATTTTTTATTCTACGTTGGACGTAATCTCAACTGAAAAATGTTGAAGGGGTGGGAGAAAGTGTGCCAATAGTGTTTTGTTTTATCATAGCATTGCCATAGAGAGTGGTTGGGCTTAAGCACATTAAAGTATCTTAAAGCGCAACGTAAAAGCGTTTTAAAGGGGGCGGGACATACTAGAGAGTATTTGATTGGTTAAGATTTGATGAGAACATGTAGTATGAGGTGATGTGAAAAAATTCACAATTTAGTGACAAACGGAAGTTACAAACTACAAGCTTTACATGTTTATATCAGTTTTAGATCTTCTAAACACAAATCGTATCACTGTTTTGGACATCCTTAAAACTTAACAGACTGAAATTAAAATAAAAATAATAAAAGAATTAAAATTTTCTAGGAACCTTAAACATCACAAAAATGTTGTTGTAGATAAGAATAGCATAATACTACACAGTAGCCATCGTAATCAACAATAAAAATTGCATAACATTATTCAGTTAGCAGTGTTGTGCAAGTTACTTCCAAACTAATACATTACAGATTACTTATTACTGTTATTTAAATGTAATCCCCTACCTTACAATATTACTGTCTCAGAATTGTAATATGTTACATTACTCTTATATTACTTTTTAGTTACTTTCATCAAAATAACTACAGAATTAGAACTCAACATTATAAAATTCTATAATGTTCTATAATGAGCATTTTACATCTAGTAGAAAGTAATTTGATGTATCAGAATGACTGTGACCTCTCCAGGCTACTAACAATATAGTATATAATTGGAAATGTGAAGGCTCAAGACAATGCAAGAAAGGATGACAGCCAGAAACACAAATGATCTGTTAAAAGTATGGTAGAGCTAATGTGATTATCTGGCAATATCTGTGAATGGCTTGGCTATATTCATATTAGACACAACAGGCCGATATGTAAACTCCAATGCCATGACAAAATGCAGATTTTGTTTCTTTTCTTATTGTTGCTATTATTGTATTTACTTTACATTCAGTGGTTTATAACACAAAACCGTCATGCACAAAGTGAGCATGATGAACAGCTTTCTCAGTATAAAGTTTGTGCACCAATTTCCTGTTTGTGGACAAAACTGCTTGCGGGCTCTCACATACGCTGCAATAATGCACAATATGCAAACAAATTCTCACAATCTCTCAAATATGCACAGCTCACGCACAATTTTTTTGCGTGCTCTCAGTACACTGCTCTCTCAGTGAGATTATATGCAGACTCACAATTTGTGTCTTGTGTTCCCTCTTCCTTTCGAGTTTTTTTATATGATTTATATTAGTACACTATTTATTAACAATAACCAAAATACTAAAATAGACTTATAATTTTTAATCTAATAAACCATAACATTTTTGGCTGTATGTTATATGATGAGATATATCCAGTTTTAAACACCCTTTAAACACAAAACATTTATTAAACATCCAAAAGGTGCACCATACTAATCAAATAAAAAACATTTAGACAAAAATAAAAACGCAAGCAGAAATGTAACTAATAGAAACATTTGATAAGGTATTATAGCCTATTATACAATTCACTCTTCAAATAAATCTCATTATCAATCACATTTTTTTATGGCATGTAAAATAAAGTTAACTAGTGTCTGTTGTCTTCTACATTGTTGATGAGATTTTGGAAGACATTTTCCCTGTCATCCTCTTCATTTTGAGAAGAAGCTGTTCCACAAGGCCCCTGAACACACATATTGTCAATAAGTACTTAATTTACTCTGTTGTGGTAATACTATAGTTGCTATGGTAACACAGCAAGTGTAATATAAACAACTGATCCAGTGCTGTAGTTTTTTTTTACAATATGGGGTAGATTGTACTACAATTCACCACACTTTACTGTAGTATAACTACACTTTATATTTCATTTTGTGAGTTCACTATTCTTAATACGGCAGTATGCTTAAGCATTCATTGTAAATACTAGCCTAAAACATAGGCAGTATACCTTACTCTCAAAAACACTAGTATTTATTATAGAATTTATCCTAACCTGTATGTAAATAGTGTAGCAATATATAAACCATATAAACATTATTGGGATAACAATTAAATAGGAGGATCTCTGAAGAGCAACAGCACGGAAGGAAGAGGAAACACAAGGTACAGATTGTGAGTCTGCATCATCTGACGGAGCGAGAGCAGGTCGTTAGCACGTAAGCAGCCCAGCCAGTGTTGAGTGAACGCGAGGAGTTTTGTCCACAGAGGAAACCGGCACGTTCATATGCACTTACGTCCATCTCGCGAATGCACTGTCTTCTGCCATTTTCATCTATTTGCCGTTTTCCGCTGTGCGTACTGCGAACCGGGCTGAGCTAAATAGCCCCGGACCTTGAGCTCAGAAGCTGAAATCATTCCGCGTTCAAAGTAAAAAGGTCCCATAGCCAGAGGGAGATTAATGACAGCACGCGCATATATTCACTAGCCACGAACAGGAAATAGAACTGCGGTTTTTTAATTTGTTACTGTCTTGCGGGCGAAAAGTTTGTTGTAACGCACGCGTTACTGAACATGTACCAAGTAAAATATTACTGAAAATGTATTAGTAATGCCTAACACTACTGCGTTACAGGAAAATGTAATACATTACTTTTGTAACGCATTACTTCCAACACTGTCAGTTAGAAAGCTAGCTGACAGAAGACGGAAGCATAAAAAAGTGAAATGGATTTGGAAAGCAGAGATAGAGGATCTTTTTTTTTATTTGTGGCTACAGCACAAATGTTTATTTGTTTATTTGTCCGCCATGTTTATTCTCAATTCTCGAGAGATTTCGCATGATCACATTCAGGACTGGTTGTGTTTGTGGTGTGTTGTTGTTGCAGCACATCACACATTAATGAGCAAAACTCTAGGATTTTTTTGTCATTATGTTTGGGGTCTCTTAACATTTTAAAACACAACAAGATCCTCTAGCTTGGTACCCATCTTAAATTGTTTCAGAATAGGTTGTTCTTGCATCAAGACACTGACCTCTGTTGGCCCAGCGTACATCATGGGTGAGGGGAAAATGGCCACGATGGTGTTTTCTGGATCCAGCACTCCTTCCTCCAGCACAGCAGCGTGTTGTCTCATGCGCCAGTCCAGCGGTACATCATCTTCTTTGGTCCAGCCACCCAGAGGATGCAACAGCAGCACAGGCTTCTTGTAGCCTCGATCCAGCAGACGACGCTTAGTGTCCTGCATCAGGAGCGCATGGCCGTTGTGCACAGGATTACGCAACTGGAATGCAAAAATGGCATCTGTGGGGGAAAATATTTATGTATTTATTAAAATGTATTTTTCCTGTGATGGCAAAACTTGCGCCATTGCTCCAGTCTTTAGCTTTACAAAACTCTTAATGTCTAAAATGCTGGTGCAAAAGAAACTTTTCATATCATTATCAAATTAAGAATGTTTACGGAATGGAACTTGATACTTTTTGTTGAATTCTCTGATAAAAAAGCACATCTGTTTGAAATAAAAACAATATTTTTTTTTATTATTATTACACTTTTTATCAAAGTAATCCAGGATATTTTTATTTGAAGCACTGGCTATTTATTTTCATTTTTAAAAAGGGTGTTTTTTTGGTCTCGTAATAGGCCATGAACTGTGTGAAAAAAGAAAGAAAGAAAGAAAATGAACGAAAAGAAAGGAAGGAAGAAAAAAAGAAAGAAAGAAAAAAAAGGAAGGAAAGAAAGAAAAATGAAATAAAAGAAAAAAGGAATGAAGGAAAGAAAGAAAAAGAAAGAAAGAAAGGTTTTACCTGCTCTCATTTCCTTAAATTTCTGCCTTAGCTGCTGTGGAGTAAGACGGTACTGGTCAAGACCATCGTTCCACTTAATTCTCTCCAACACTTCCAATTCTCCGCCGGCCAGCCAATCCCCACTCTCCATCACCATCTAAACAGAGAACAAAACGTTTTGTAGCTTTTTTTTAGCTTGGTTATTTTCGTAATTTTAAAGAGCCCCTATTCTGGTTTTGGGGTCTCTAACAACAGGCTCAAATGCATCCAAGGTCAAAACACTTTCATTGTCTTATAATATGCATTTATATTTTATCTAATTATCCTAACGACTCCCATTTGATTTGTTCAGCGATTCATTTGTTCCCAAACCCCTCCTTAGCGGGATGCTAATCTACACTGATGGGTCCAATGACTCAGTCGGTTGCGATTGCAATCAGCGTGAGACAGAGAGAAACGCCCACCACGGCTTATCAACATTGTTGAAGTAGTCAGAGTGCAGAGTGTATGTGCGAGCCCAATGCAGGAGAGGATTTAAGCAATGCAGTTAAACACCAGTTTATTGCTCTATTCTTAACATGACACACATTCAGTATTAATACACACAGTGGCAAAAGCTGAACTATTTTGAAACTTGACCACTTTACGCGTGTAGAAACAGCTGACGGTGGCCTCAGCAACAAAGGCAAAGGATCGCGAGCTCACAAATGCGGTTAAATCCATAAACAAAGCAGCACGCGTCGCATTTTTAACGGGGTGTTAGATGCGATATAAGAATATAAAAAGTTAACCAGATACAGTACGAGTAACAAAACACAATTAAATACATCCTTGCAAGCTAAAGAAAACAAGGAGGCAACCATTTTAATTACACTTAAGTTACTTGCACTTGGAAGGAACTGATCCATGAACTGCGCACTGTAAAGTTCCTGTCAAGCTCTGACAAAGTGCCATATATCAAAAGTCTTTTCTGATCCTTTGTTTAACAAACAGCCAATGAATCCCCCATTGTAAGCATGTAGATTGCTGAAGCTCATCAGAAAAATGACAGGAACACAGCACAAGGCTGGGGCTATAATGCTGAGGTTTTTTTTTTTTTTTTTTTTTGCAAAAATACATTTCAACCACTGACTCTTCAAAACCTCATCTTTGGATAGGGAAAATAACATCAACTTTTCCTCACACTTCAGAGCACAGCGTCTTCTCGACTTAAATCAACCGAGATTTGCGACAGTGTTTGTCTCTCTTTTTTTGAGAGAGTTTGTGGCCAGGGTTTGCGTGCAACAAATGGGCAGGTCTTAAGTTCTGTATTGGCATCACTTAGACAAAGCTAAAGATTTGTTACCTCGACGATTCATTTAAACCACTCTGAGTCGACTCTTTTATGGATGAAGAGTTTTAAACATGGATTTAAGCCTCAGCTGGATATTTCACTTCACTCATAGCTGTGTTACATGCATTGAAGGTCATTTTCAAAAACTCATAATAGGGGCTCTTTAACACATAAGCATTGCAAAAGCAATGACACACAGATGTGCCCTCTCACCTTGATGTATGGATGTTTGGGGCATGTTGTCCCCCATTGCCTGGCACATCGCTCCTCCTTCCGATGCTCATAAAACTCAGGGTTGCGCATGATTGCCACTTTTTGACCATTGAACTCCAGGACAAAAGCAGCACAACCATCCAGCCTTTCCTTGTCCTCTTTGCATACGGGAAGCACAATTGGAACAGACATGTTGATGATCCCTCCTAAACAGAAAATATTAATACACTTAGTCATGTGGAAGATGCTTATGTCCAAAAAGACTTACAATTGATGAGAGGCAGTACATACTAGAAGTGCCAATTATACAAAGCAACTATTACTAATATTACTTCTATTGTTATTATTAGTAGTAGTAGTAATAGTAGTATTTCATGTTATGATATATATTTATTACAGCTGTGTCCACAAAATACATTCAAAAGTAAATTAGTAAATTATATTATTTTTAATTTGTAACAGTACATTTATTTTTGTTCATCACATTTTCCTGATTTAAATGTATATATTTATTAGATTAAAAAAATACAAAAAAGTTACACCTATAAAATATATATTTTAATTATATATATACACATGTCCTAATATATAGCATTTAATGTTAGATTTAGAAAAATATATCTTTCTCTTAAATTTCTTGCATTTTTGCATTACTAACTCTCCTGTGATACAGTAGTTTATGTGCTGTCATCAAGGCAAATATATATATATATATATATATATATATATATATATATATATATATATATATATATATATATATATATATTAAAACTATGTTACAATTGTGTTGAAAAAAAAAACATGAGCAAAAATACAAAAGCACTTGGGAAATATTTGAATTTCTTCTTCTGTACCTTTAAAATGTTTTTGTGAATAGTAAGTTAAACAGAAAAAAAACTATTTGAAATATTTAAAATATGAATATGAATTTGATCAATTTAATAAGTCTCAAACTCATTTGCTAGAGGGCCACAACCCTGATTTAGCTCAGACTCGCCTTCACGGTAGTTGCTAAATAACCTGAAGAACTTGATTAACTGGTTTAGGTGTGAGTAGTGAAAACTTGTATGAGGAAATGGCCCTAAAGGAAGCAGTTTTGATAGCACTAATTTAATTTATTCTTGCAAAATTAAAATATTTATATTGTTTTTCTCATTTATACTGATGTTAAAAAAAAATAAAAACAAAATAAAACACAGAAAAGCTACAACAAGTCATTGTAAATGTAATATCAAAGAGTCTACTTATTTCTTTTCTCTCTGCTACTTGTGAAATATACAGATGACACTATAAAAACCTCAGGACAGTCACTCACACACAATCCTTATCAGGTGTCACACACTGATTTACCAAACCAGAATGAACAGCCATTTATTCTGGCACATGTTTTAAAAGGCGGATGCATTTCCAGCCACAATGTACCATTGAGAGTACACCAACTTGTAAACCCCCCAAAGTTGGGAAACACCCAAACACTCTCTCATTAATTTACAAATACACACACAACAGCCAATTCAGTTCATCTAATTGACCTATAGCAGATGTATTTGGACTTTGAGGGAAACGAGAGCCGGTGTTCTGACATTTTAACCTACCTATCAGATCATGCTACCAACACCGTATTTGAATAGTTCTGAGGTTGGAGTTAAAGATTAGGTAAGTTGGGACGATATTACAGCTTCATCCAAATTAAAATTTACACTGGTAGCAAAATGTGATGGGTACCACATTGCGTCATCAAAATGTGCTTTTTGAATGGGAGGTAGGACAATTCAACAGAACACCGGCCGGGTCTCAAACCAGTGACCCGTTTTAAACTAGAATGGCCATAGTGTATGAGTGTCGAAGTGAATGAATGTGTTTGGGTGTTTCCCAATACTGGGTTGTGACTGGAAGAGCATCCGATGCGTAAAACATATACTGGAATAGTTGGGGGTTCATTCTGATAATAGATACTAAGCTGAAGAAAATAATTGAATGAATGAATGGTTTAATTGTTTTGAAGCTTTTAAAGCTTAGTTTCTCCAGCACTGTCACTTCTTCCATGTTTGTTTGACTACATTTTTCAGTGATAATGACAGCTGCAATGTCAAGAAATGGCACATGATTATGTGCTTGTTAGCAGCACAGACATGCTCACAGACATGTAGAAAGAACCAAAAGTCCCATACTGAAATGGTTCAAAGGTAATATGTAAACCTTTACTACCCTAATTGATCACACCATTAGGGGACCGCCATCCTGGGAGGCACAAAAATACTGTCTCCCACTGACTGCCAAGTCATGGGTTGAGTGATTTCTTCTTTTATTGTCAAAAAGCTGGATAACTGTTGTGCAATAACATACAGCATTTCTAAATGACGAGGAGACATGCCTGGGCTGTGCTTCTACAGAAATTCCTTCATAGAAAGAACAGCCAAAAAGGAGAATTTTATGGATTTTTGCCAAATAAAGGCATCATTGACACCTATACCTGTCAGTACTTTTGATAATAATAATCATTTTTATTTGTATAACACTTTTCCTACATACATGCAACTCAAAGCGCTTCACAAACAACAAACAAGCATTAAAACAAACCAAATTAAATGTATAGACAAATAAAGCAAAATAAACAACAAATATATACTCAGATAAATACATACATGTACACGCATATATGCATACATCTACACAATCACGCACACAATAGTCCTCACATATGCATGCACACACCGTACATACATAACTACACAATATACACAAAATACATACACTCCACAAACCATTATATTCATACGCATTACGCAATTTTAAAAAGGTGCGCTTTTTAAAAACATGAATGCCTGGGGATTCTTTCACTTCATTTGGGAGACAATTCCAAATTTTTGGAGCATAGTGACTAAAAGAAGTGCCACTAGATCGCATCAGATCTACACAGTGAAATTGTAAAAGTCCAGTGCTAGAAGAGAGTAGCAAACGGTTTGGATTATATTTCGCTAAACAGTCAGAAATGTAAGAAGGTGTCATGTTGTGTAGTGTCTTATAAACTAATAAAGGAATCTTAAAATCTATCCTTTGGTGCACTGGTAACCAGTGTAATTCCATTAATGCTTGTGTGATATGATCTCGTTTCTTCAATTTCATCAAAACTCTGGCTGCAGCATTTTTTTGCAACATTATGCTTTCTATACAGCTTCTATTCTAATTTGCAGGTTTAGTGCAATTATGTATAAACTGAAATGTAAATTCAAAGTATAAACAGCAAAACTGAATAGATTTTCCCTACAAGCAAATATTAATCCAAGAAAAAGAAACGAACATCTATTATAATAGCAGACATTTTCATGCTAAAACACCATCAACAATGACTAAATCCAAAGGAATGTCTAAAAGACTATGTAAACATTGCCGAACTGGAGCTCTGACAGGGACATGATAGTTTTAAATTACTAAAAAAGAGCTGCGGGTGCAAACATGGATTGCAAGTGCCCAAAATGTACAGCTTGTGATCATATCTCTGTTTTGTTCTGTTGATATGTAATCCAAACATACGTAGCTTGAAACAGAGAGAACAGAGCTGCCATAATGGCCCATTGTTTTTTTGCCTGCTAGGTCTTCGCACAGGTCACATGACTAAAAACATTCAATAGGCCAACAATAATATCTGGAAATGTTTACCATCAAGCAAAGTTCCAAAATGCAAGACTTGAAGGAACTCCCTCTCCCTCATGAATCCCCTCAGCGGAGTCGCCCATCCTTCAGCCAGAACCTGCACCCACTGCAAATCCAGCTACAGGACCAGAGAGGAACACCAAACACATCTTCAGTTTTATTTATGACAAAACAACCAGTTTGTCACAAAATATGACTCACAAAAGTTAATTTGTCTCTAAAATAATTATTTTGACGGCTCTCGCAAATGTAAATTATGGAAGAGATTTCCATTTCCAAACAGCAGGTTACAGTGAAACGCTCTCAGTTAACTGAACTGTGAGGAAATGCCTGTGGTGCAACACGCAGAGCGGTTGTTCCTCACAGCGGCAGGGCATGTGTGTGCTCATGAAGGGTTGCATTACCTCAGTGATGGTTACGGTGGGGAGTATATTGGCATCGCTCAGCACCAAGTCCAGCTTGTTTTCGGGAACAAAGAGTTCATTCACTTCCTCTGTCACACCAGTTGGTACAATATCCTGTGATAACGAATCACTTGGTCAGTGAGGTTTTAACATCTCTCAACTGAAAACGAACCGTCTGTCAGTTGGCACAAAAAAACAACGAACAACTGACAAAACACAAAGATACATTTGATGAGCAGAAATGACTGACCCACCTGTTCCTTCAAGAGATCTACCACCTGGTGAATGCAGTCATTGACTGTGAGCTCTCCGGTTTTCAGCACCAGCTCAGGGGCTTCAGGTTTCTCATAGTCAGAGTCAATTCCCGTAAAACCTACATCATACAAATATAAAGTTAAAGCATGTCATACTTTATCTGATTAACTGCTAGAAAATAGTGTGTAATATCGCTGCAGACAACTGTCATCAAGTTGCCTAAATGTAAACTACAAAAACCTGAATATGCTAAAACTTTGACATCATGTGCATGCGTACACAGGGTCAACAACAAGGACTGCCTGATGGCCCAGGGCCAGTGTGAGGGACGCTTGGGGCAGTAGACAAGATCGTTACTGGCTCGATTGGTACAGTGCTGCCTTGTTACTAAAGTTTCATTTGCCTGCAACTATTTGTCAATTGCGTGCATTTTAAGTTTGTGCTTTTGAGTCTTTAAATGCAACCTTCTTTATGATGCTGGAAAAACCATATTGCTTCTCAGTTCCTCTTATCTGATTTGATGTTTTGAACATGCGATTTCTTTTTTTTTTTGTAACCTGGTAACAAACAGTTCAGTGAAGTGACGGCAACATCAAATTATAATATAAAAGAAATCATATGTTTCTTACTTCTTGGAAGCAGACATTTACGTGGGTACAACACAACGAAAAAAATAAGTGATATTTTGCACAATTTGCTGTCAGTACGACAAGTCAGCCACTTTTTGTTAAATAATTTCAAACTGCAATAAAATACCTGCACATTTTCCTCTTTTTGTTTGCGTAACACTTTGAATTTTGCTCATAATACATTTATTAACATTTTTAAAATACTTAAATTCTAGATTCACAGATATTATTTTTGACACATTGTTTAAAATATGTGGCTAAAAAATAGCTTTTAACTTCTCTATTTTTTTTTTTGGTGAGCCCAAAAAAATCTGAATCACTGGCCCGATTGGACAAGTAGAAAAGATTCTTAGTGTTGATCACTGGTATAACATACTCATTGTCTAGGTATGAACGAGCAGTTTACAACAAATGTGCTCCTATTATACAGGTGCTTCTCAATCAGCTCCTTGTTCAGTAGTCAGGGCACTGGTCAGGGAGTCAGCCATTTTAAGGGCTGTCTCAGAGCACAAAATTCTTCAAATGCACTGAAATCTTTGCTCACTTAAAACCCCAACAATTAACAATGAAAAGCATTGATGATCTTTTTTTTTTTTTAGAAAGAAAGAAACCGTTATGCATTTAATATACTACATCATAAATAAACATGGTTGGACAGGAACATTCTAGGAAACATTATTATTATTAGTAGTAGTAGTAGTAGTAGTAGTAGTACATACATTATTTTTGTATTCTTTATTTTATTTCTTTTTAAGGAAGGAAGGAAAAAGAAGAAGAGAAAAAGAAAAAATACAATGACATTGAAACTTAAATGAACAGCTGACTGTGGTCACATACAGTTGAAGTCAGAATTATTAGCCCCCCTTTAATTTTTTTTTTTCTTTTTTTAAATATTTCCCAAATTATGTCTAACAGAGCAAGGAACTTTTCACAGTATGTCTGATAATATTTTTTCTTCTGAAGAAAGTCTTATTTGTTTTATTTCAGGTGGAATAATTTTTTTTTTAATTTTAAAAACTATTTTAAGGTCAAAATTATTAGCCCCTTCAAGTTATATATTTCTTCGATAGTCTAAAGAACAAACCATCATTATACAATAACTTGCCTAATTACCCTAACCTGCGTAGCTAGCCTAATTAACCTAGTTAAGCCTTTAAACTTTAAGTTGTATAGAAGTGTCTTGAAAAATATCTAGTCAAATATTATTTAATATTTTTTGTCATCCTGGTAAAGTTAAATATATCAGTTATTATAAATGAGTTATTAAAACTATTATGTTTGGAGGTGTGTTGAAAAACATCTTCTCTCCATTAAACAGAAAATGGGGGGAAAAAATATACAGGGGCGTTACTAATTCAGGGGGGCTAATAATTCTGACTTCAACTGTATAGTCAAAAGTATGCATAAAAATGATAAATTTTCTTAACAACAAAATTGTGGCTGGTGAAAATGGCGATAGGCTAGTAATGTTGATAAATTACTAGCTACAGTGGCTGGTTATCAAAAAAGTTAATGTCAAGTCCTGCATATAAAGATCAGTTTAAAAATTGTAACATCATAAGCACAATCCATTTCTCCTAATTTTGCAACTATTTGTCCAGTTGTAATTTTAATAAAAAAAAAAAACTTTTCTTAAAGGTCACCCTCTCTATAATTTGAAAATTAGATATAATAACAAACCATTCAAATTTTGTAGGGGTTCCAGTTACAGTTTTCTTGCTGGTTGTTAAAAGTATTTTTAATAAAATCTTTTGCGTGGAGTTGCTGAAGTTTGCCCTGCGCACCTGCGATTTTTTTAGGAACTTCTTTGGTTTGGTGCGTCAATCTTGTCAATGTTATAATTCAAAAAAGGGTAATGATTCGCACTCAAGTAATTGCTTCATACTGTTTTTAATTTTTCTTTCTCTTACATTCTACGGGTGATTAAAAAACACAGACATGCACAATGCCTTCCTCAGTGTGTGACAAGATGTAAGAGAAAAAAAAATAAAAACAGTACGAAGCAATTACTTGAGTGTGAATCATTACATTTTTTTGAATAATAAAATCTTTTACCATTAAGTTGGATGCTATATAGCCCCATGTGCATTGTTGAAAAAGAAGTCCGTTAATCAACAAAAATACATTGACATTAATAAATAATTAAAATGAAAAAATGTTGCTGGAATACGAAAAAAATCTAATTATATATGTTAATATGTTTTCATTCATAAATTACAATGTACAACAAAACATTCGTTATTTGAAGGAACTTTTGAGAACAACAAAATCTTCTATACATTAAACTTTTTTAAAATGTGAAGGAAAAAAGGTTTCCATTTTTGGTGCTTCATTGTCATGTAAACATACGCTTAGAGCGTTTGGGCAAATACTAATTACCAACAGCTCAAATTTTTTCATTTGTATTTGATCTTTAAATTACATTGGATTACTTTATAATTGCTTTGTCTAATATTCATCATATGTTATTTCTAGTCAAATTAAATAATATGGGAAATCTACAAGCAAAGTCTTAACAGATTGATACCTTTAATCTCTCCAGCACGGGCCTTTTTATAAAGTCCTTTGACATCTCTGCTCTCACACACCTCCAGTGGAGCATTTACAAACACTTCAAAAAACGGCAGACCTGCACTCTCATGGATCTTCCTGGCTTCTTTTCGATCCTATCGTCAGGACATTAAAAAAAAATGTACTCTCATATTTCATCCTGATTCAGAAATTCTCTGGAAATGTCATGTCACTGAATATTACTATACCTTGGTAAATGGAGAAATGAAACTAGTGATGCAAACCAGTCCAGCATCAGCAAACAATTTGGCAACCTCAGCAATTCGTCTGATGTTCTCTTCTCTGTCCGTAGACGTGAAGCCCAGGTTCTTGTTTAAGCCATGTCGAATATTGTCACCATCGAGCGAGTAGCAAGGAATGGCATGGGAGACTAGATATTCTTCCAGAGCAAATCCAATTGTAGTCTTTCCAGCACCAGAAAGCCCTATAGAAAACAGAAATATTTGAAACTACACTAAAGAAAACTAAATTACGATGAATTCACTTTTATTGTATAAAATGAGATGCCATATCTAACCGTCTACATATAAATATGAAAGGTTCAGATGCAAAAACCTCCAAATGCCACCTAAAAATTTTCTCAGCCTCCTATGTTTATGTTCAGTTACTTCCCTTTAAAGGCAATAAGATGAACTTGTTTGTCACTATAAAAGTAAAGTTACTGAGCCAACACACAAGAATCGGAGACAAATGCTAATTTTTGAAGAAAATATCAAATGGTTTCTAGAGGTTTTTGCATCTGGCCTCTTCATATATTGTCAAGCAACTGCTGCTCTTTTCCACAGAACAATGCAAGTTATTCTAGTCTAAACACTGAGATTGAGTTATCGATGACAGATTTTTTTCATCCTTGCTTCAAGAAAAAAAAAAAAAAAAACTCACCCGTCAGCCAGACAGTACAGCCACGAAATCCCCCTCTAGTCCCAACTACCTGGCCACGTTTGCTTCTACTCACATGGTGAGCCTGGTACACAACATTGGTGGCCCTCTGCAGGTCCTACAAACCAGAAAAATAAATGCATAAATAGTCAGTCTTTACTGATAATGACTGACAGTGTTTCTTCTTCTGTTCTTCTGGAACAACTCCTACAGTTTTTGATAATCCACCAACAAACTCATTATTACTCAAATCTTGTTATCATTCGCCCTCATTCATTACAAATGTTTTCGTCATACAATGGAAGTCATTGAACATCAAAGATATGGTTACCAGCATTTCTCAAAATATCTTCTTTTATGTTCTTTAGAATAAAATGAATGCATACATATTTTGATTGAGTAAATGATGAAAAAATGTTTATTTCTGAGTAAATTGGTCCTTTATTTTATTTTTACCATAAAAGGCCATTTGTCTGATGATTAGGGTATGTTGCAAAAGAAAACAAATACGCTTTTTTCTTCTTTTTTTTTGAAGAAATAGAAGAACAGTGTAATCCTGTGGATTATATTTCCATCTATTTGACTGGGTCATCAGGATTTGAAGGGAGCAACTTTGGAAAGAGAAATAAAGAAACAAAAAAGGCCATTCATGCAGTCCCATGGAGAGCTGGATCAGTGCCATGTCTCTCTCTCTCTCTCTCTCTCTCTTCACCCAGGCTCCTTGGATCCACAAGAAATCCCAGTTTGATGCTAGTAACCCTGGAGGTTGTTAGTTCGTTACTTCACTTTAGAACACAGTGTCCCTATATGTTAAATTTGGCTTCATAAGCAACCAAGTAACTAACTGCATTATAATTACTTTATTTTGAATTTATGTCATAGATATATTCATTCATTAATTTTGATTCTGATAAAAGGTGTTTGGAAAATCTATGTCACTTGTAGGCATGGGCCGGTATAAGATTCTATGATAACCTTAAATAAACATATCACGTTTTGACAGTAGTGATTACTGCTCTAAAATATGTTCTTTTTAAATGTCTGGATGAACTGCTTTTTCCCCCATTTGAAAATAATATATTTTAATATTTTGAGAAACTTTTATTATATTTTGGGACAGTAAACATCTCAGGCTGAATAATTCAAATGAATCATTGACTTCTGCGGTCTTTGTTTCTAAAACACAAGATTTCATTACAATTTAAAACGGCATCTTTGGATATCTTTTCTGTTGGAGATACTGGTGTCCTAAAAAAAAAAAGTAAATAAAAAATATTACCTATACGGTAGAAATGGTATAGCAGAAAATTTAAACTTTAAAACCTTGACTTTTCCAAACTGCGGTATACCTTGAAAACGGGTATCGTCCCATGCCTCGTCACTTGAATGTAAATAAACTTTAAAATATAACAGAAAACACACAATTTGTAAATACCTTTAAATCACATTACTGACAAGTAATGCCTCATGTTGCCCAACATTTCCTCATATTATTTTCTATTCATATACACATACTAAATATAATGGATAATATGTAGGTGTTTTTTTTAATATTATTGTCATGAAAAATATGATTTTGAAGCATAACCCCTTGTAAAAGTTAACTTACTTCAGAAAAAATTGTTTCAATATGTGAAATGTGACTTTATATGTAACTGAGTGACAAAAATGCATTAACCTTATAGTATTTGTGTATTTATATCGTAGAAAACAAACAACAAAACACAAAAGTAAAACAAGTCCCATCAAATCTAGGCAAGGTGAAGTGATGTAAATGTTAAACCTGAATCATAACATCCTGCCACATCACCACAAGTAAAGCACTTTAAATACCCGTTTAGCCAAAAACAAACTCTTGCTTCATGTGGAGAAGCTGTCACTCCGTGTTTATTCAGCATTTCTGTAACGTAACACTGTTTGGATAAGAAACTCACATTTGTGTGAATTTAAGAGTTTCGAAATGAACTGTTGTTTATTAAACGTCTACCACAGCACACTTCAAGCTATCTCTAGTAGATAAAACAACTTTCATGATTTAAATTCAGGTGACATTCATAGAATCCGTGAAACTTTTAATAGTCCATTGAGAGAGAAAACACAAAACAAAAGAAAATTCAGCACACGTAACGTACCGTTCTCTGCTTCTTCATCCCAGACATGATGGCACGATACGAAAAAGTCAGCCGAGGCTTTCAAAAATGTAACCCTAAGGGACCAAGACACAGTTAAAGAAGTGAAGCTAGTGAAAGCCAGGATATATTGGACACGTAGCACTCAGGGCTCTTCCTGAAATCCACCCACCACTGTGCTCTGCTCACGTCACAATCACGACTGCATACTAACTCCACTGGTTCTCTCATTCTACGATGTATCTCACACAATAAACCGAGAACAGCAAACCAGAAGCATTATGGATACAGCACTTAAAAGCTATTTAAAAACATAACTGAATTGTCGTTTCTACTCTCGTGTCTTTTTGTTTACATAACACAAGGGGGTTTGGTATCCAGAGACCACCCACCCAGAGCGATCCCACACCGACCCACTTAAACGTGAAAGTGTTTCAAACTTGCTTCAACTATTGTCATTTAATAAAACTACTTTATTAAAAATTATTTGATAAGTAAAAGTATTTGATGAAACCTGAAATACCACAGCAAGGCTACACTCTTTAAAATGTGTTTACTGTTTACTTTTAACATGTAAACAAACTATCCAACATACGTGATTGTAATCCATTAATGGTCTGAAATATAAAAGGATATATATATATATATATAATATATATATATATAATAAAATATTTTAGAATCTACAAGCAAATTTGAAGTAGATACTGCTAAATTTTGTTTAGACATGTTTTAGCATTCTCCATGTTACAAATCCATTTCTGTCACAATATCATTTCTATCACAAAATGGACACCAAATATGGAACCCTGAACGTAAAATTAGGGCTCCATGATAATGGAAAATGTTTAAATGTTTTATATATATATATATATATATATATATATATATATATATATATATAGCGATATAAATACAATTTCACCAGATGACTTAATATCTCTACTTGGAAAGAATTTAATGTTAGATCAATTGGGATGATTCTTCAGTGGAAGTGCAATAAACAATCTATAACACTTTTGGGTTCCACCCCTGAAACATTTTCGTTGTTCTCTGTGCTATTTGCAGCGCATTTCTGTATTTGCATGTGTTGTATTTTCATGAACATGTTTAGTCAGAGATTGATGTTTACTATTTGCAATGTTTACTATTTGCATCTCCACAAAATCTAATAAACAATTTATAAACTATTTCAGGTCCTCCGACACATTTTCATTGTGCTACTTGCAGGGCATTTCTGTATTTGCATGTGTTGTGAGTATTTTCATGCATAACAATACACAACAGTATTTAGGTACAGTACCTGTAGGGTCCAGCCAGTTGGTCCAATGACGGTATCCAATGGTGGATGAAGGTTCACTGCATGTTCGGTCTTTCCAGTGCACAATGTTGATCTATATTAAACTTAACTCATATCTGACTCCAATTTTAGTATGAGGTGGTTTAGAATATTAATATGTTTATCCTCGTTTTATCTGACTCCAATTATAAAACATTGAGAAGGTTATTTTGTTTCCTTTCACATTATTTTAGATTATGATTGAATATTCTTTTGATTTGTTATTATACCTTATTCTCATTTACTCAGATTCCGATAGCATCTCGAGTCTTGCACCGGCCGGGTATACAATCTCTTAATACAAGCTTGTCAGTCTTGGTCATTAAACAGAGGCGATTAACCACTCTCCTAAAAAGGCAGAACACTACTTACTCAATTTAGGAGATTTCTTATGTGGTCCCCATAGATCTGTTATCTACTAATTCAAGACAAAGTATTTTAATAATAATCGCACAGGATTATAAGTTTGTAGATGAAGGCCTAAATATCCACATTTAAAGTAGTTTCAACAATATTTTGTTGTTCTAAATAGAAAACCCATAGTTGGCCTTTTGCAGTCTACGTATACATGAAATAATGCCAATTTGCTAGTCGGATCTCTAATAACATTGTTTAGCGTGCCACGCTGCTCCGTCTAACATGTTTTAGTCCGTTACTAACCTGTACAGTGGCTTGTAGTGCTATGGACAACAACATTTATCAGTGATAATAACACGAGGTTTGAATAGTTCAAAACATAACAATTTATTAGTCAGGTAAATGTATTATGCCAATTCAATCAGTCAATTCATAAACGATCAATACAAAACATCAAATTATCAAAGATAAATCCAAGATTAAAAGATGCATTCCTGACTTTTTTTTACATAACGTGGAGCCTAAGCTCCACAATATGGGCTGATCTGGGTAGGCAGAATCGCGCTGAGTGTTTCTCAAACCTTGCCTTAAGTAATCCAAGAATTCCCTCAAGGAAGGGGGTGTGAACAAAAGGCATTCACACTTAGTGGCACACCCCTCTCAGTGGTTCAAAAGATGCCTGAAGTTATATATTTATTGTTCTGATTATGTCTATTTCTGAGAGAATGAGACCATTGTACCAATCACACTGAGACATTTCAAATGATATCAAACATGATAGTTAAAGTCAGTTTGGTTAATTCTAGAACATTCAAACATTGAAATGACCATATGTGTGAGTTGGGGGGATGAAGCAGACTCAGATGCAAATGCAGCAGGAACTGGTTTTTCCCGCATTCCCCTTGCTGAGTTGTGAAGTTACCAGTCTCTGTTTTCAGCTCATGTTTTGAATTGTCAAAGACATCAGAATATTTGCAATATTTCAATTCTTACAGTACCTGAATAATAAAAATAAAAAAACAATTCAATAAAATTAATCATTGTTAAGGCCAAAAATGGTACAATTTCTTATGACGGAATAAAAATCATTATACAATAACAGGCATCAAAAACACATGCAAATGATAAATTAGAATGCAAACTCAACATTGAATATCCTGCGATGTAACTATTGCGAATGATCCCACTGCGATATTGATGCTGAAACGATATATTGAGTAGCCCTATGTAAAATCATAAAAAAGATGGATCTTGTCAAGATTAATAAATTATTTACATTTTCAAACCACCAACATCCATACACACTCATTTACACATATACACTACGGACAATTGAGCTTACCCAATTCTCATTAACCACGTTTTTGGACTTGTGGGGAAAACCAGAGCTAGATTTATTCAGTTTTTATTCAAGAAATTTTGAGCTTTTAAGCTTTTGGATGATATTTAATTAAGGATTATTACTTAAAACCAAAACTGAATCTTAATTATGTATTTATTAATGACAGTTAACTTCAAATATAATTATCTTTCACTACAACAGCTGTTTGGGGGAGATTTTATGATAACAAAATGTTTAAATAAAAATATATACATCATACTTTTTTGTAGATGTTTGTTAATGCGTTTTTTATTTATAGGGTTTGTAGATGTTTTTCCACCCTCGGGGTTTAACAAAGCAACTACAAAATACAAAGGTATTTGTTCCTTAAATCCACCCTTCTGAATTGTCTAGATTTTTTTGGATGTATCCCAATCTTACTAACATTCTGTGAACTAGAAAAAATGTTTGCTATTTCAAAACTAAGACTGGATTGTGTGATCTTTAGAACAACCAGCTCTTTCTTTTGATCCAGTCCTGATTCAATTACTTAAACAACTAAAAGTTCAGATTTTGAACATGGACACATTGCTTATACAAATAACAAACACTTTTTGGTTGTTTAAACTGTAGAAAATGCACTGTATATTTATTTCTATATACAATTGTTTCTTTCATCACAAAATTACAAGTCATTTGGTACAATACAACCACATGTCATTAGTTCTTTGGCAAAACAAACACAGAAATCATTCTTAAAGCTCAGATGTACACCTCTTGTCAATTTGGTTGCCTAAAAAATAAATAAAACCATACACAGAATTCCAACCAAAGTTAGAAAAAAGGTAAAGATGCAGTTGTTTCCATGAGCACAGAATTTAATCCCTGTAAACACCTATTCAATCATTTGACTCACAGTTCAGTGTTCCTGAGATTCAACTGAGGCAAATCACACTCCTTATTAAAATCGCACCCATGAAGAAGCTTTGAGTAATGCTTTCGAACTCTTTCATACAGAGGAGCTGCATGGTTCATGCTGGGAAAAATCATGGGCTTCTCATTGAGAAACAACTGAACTCTTAGTCCATCGCTACATTCATACAGGACAAAGACAACGTTTGCAGCATAAGGTAAAATCTTACTGGAGCGGAATACACGTTTGCGTTGCAGTGCAAAATTCTCTGAAGTTAAAGGTTTTTCATCCTTGAAGAAGCCCATTAGAGAGAGCAGAGGCAGCAGGGTTTCACCATGACCAACCTGAATGGTGGCAGTCTTTTTCACCTCTCCGAATCTGTTTTATTAAAAAACACAAGTGAACATAAATATTTATACTATGCTACATGGAATGTTTTTGAAGGTGCCTTACATTATATATATATATATATATATATATATATATATATATATATATATATATATATATATATATATATATATATATATATATATATATATATATATATATATATATATATATATATATATATATATATATATATATATATATATATATATATATATATATATGTATATGTATATGTATGTGTGTGTATATATATATATATATATGTGTGTGTGTGTGTGTGTGTGTGTGTGTGTGTGTGTGTGTGTGTGTGTGTGTGTGTGTGTGTGTGTGTGTGTGTGTGTGTGTGTGTTTGTGTGTGTGTTACTTGCTTAATTTAGTGACTGTTATTGTTTCTTTGTATGTACTCTGACCTGTTTCCCAAGTTACCTTTACATGCATACACCCATACACACACACACACACAAACACAAACACACACACACACCCAATTGAAGTCAGAATTATTGGCCCTCTCCAAATTTATTTCTTCTTTTTTAAATATTTCCCAAATTATGTTTAACAGAGCAAGGACATTTTCACAGTATGTCTGATAATATTTTTTTTTTCTGGAGAAAGTCTTATTTGTTTTATTTCGGCTAGAATAAAAGCAGTTTTTAAATTTTTAAACACCATTTAGGGACAAAATTAATAGCCGCTTTAAGCTATATATTTTTTCGATAGTCTACAGAACAAACTTTCGTTATACAATAACAAATACAAATACAAAATTCAAGTCTTTGTTTTTTTTACTCCATGTAGTTCTGAGAGCTGAGATGCATTTTGATTTTCTCAGATACATCAAAGTGCGCGAAGGTCACTCTCATGCATTGACAGACACACAGTTTAATTTGCTGTTATACTCTATATAAAATCCAGATACTAAGCTGTATATAAAGGTGCCAATTAATGAGCAACATTAAAAATTACATATTTGACCTCTTCCCAAGAGAGAAAGCCATCAACAATCAAAACTGCATGATTATATGGTGTCATGGTTTTGTGATCAAAAAACTACAATGGAAGTTAATGGGGCAAAAACAGCCACCAACAATAAATCAGGGAGAAAAAAATGTAAACAAATCAAAAACAATGCACCAAAGGCAATGTTGATTCACATGTCCAAGAGTTTGATATAAGGGGGAAAAATCCAGTCCACTATGTACTTTTTGAAAATACGTCATTTTGTCTGTTTTTTTGTTTGTTTGTTTTTTTTTTTTTTACCAAATGGGTGACATCATTTATGAATTTAGCAATTAAAAGGTTAAAATCCTGTAATTTTAAGCAATTTAGAAGTTGTAATAAGGACTAGGGTTGATTAACAGATTTATGCAAAAAAAAAAAAAAATTATCTGAAGCATTTTACAGCAGTTTAATTTAGTTTTCATCCTTAACAAAACAAAAGGGAAGTTCTTCTTAAAATATGTGTCAAAATAAGATTTGTCTCTAAAAATCATTCTGCTAGCTGAAACAGAAAGAGTTATGGCCAAATTAAGACTCAAAATCACCCCAGAGTGGATGAAAACATCCCCAACAGCACATAAGGGTTAACATAGAAACAAAAAAAATAAACATTGATATAATCTCACGAGGAAACGTTATAGCCAGACAAAGGAGTCTGGGGTCTGTATGCAGACATGGTGCAGTTGCATGTAATGCTTTTTAATCTGCACACTTAATCCTACCCCTTACAGTGATGTTACTAGCTCCTTTGAGTGCATTTTGTCTGACATTGCATGTCTTAGCTTGCATCATCAAGGCTGCATCCAGATACTATTGAATCAAATGCAGCCTAGCGTGTGCACATTAAGGTCAGGACACACCAAGCTGTCTGATGGCAATTGGGCAGCATTGGGTCATGGGTCAGCATCAGTCCGGCTAGTGTGTTTAGTGTGTTCCACACGTCGCCTTTTGCTGGGTTAATGTCCAATCAAGTTTGCCCAATTCAGCATGTAGCTTTAGAATTTGCGAATCGATTGAAAAGATCTTTTTGTTTGTTTATTCAATAACAAATTTAAGCACAAAACTGAAGTACCCAAGTAAACAACTGAAGTCAAAAGAAAAGCCAGCTGTAATTTAGTTTTTTTCTTTTCAAATATTTGCAAACAACAGAATATCTCTATGTTGAGGGACAATTTCTGAGACTTAGTTTACATGTTGTCTGTGCACATTTAATGTTTCGGTTAAACTCTGTAGAGGAGAAAATAGACTACCCACAGGTTCGGAAAGACCTGTCCTCTCACACAGGACGCAGAACGCAAGCTCATTTCAGCTGGCTGCCACACATTTGATCTGTTTATGCGCAACTTTTTTTGGTCCAGAAATGGCCAACGTGAGGCTACAACCCAGTTAGTTTTCATTGGTGCTAATTGTTTGGCATCGGCTTGGTGTGTCCCGGCCCTTAATGATCCCAAGTGGATCATTAGAATCAGTGTTTTGTTCAGAATGCCCCATTTTTCACCAGGATTTTACAATCATGAGATTCACATTAAAACAAAGAAACAATGGTATTTGAGGCTCATTCAACTATGCCAAGGCATATCCAGATTTTATGGCACCTTTAAGTGGACAAATAAAACAGTATTAATCTCCAACTAACCTGTGGTCTTTAGCAGCATTATCAAGACGACTGAAAATATCATGAAAGAGAGGGCAGCTGGATTTGCGGTTGATGTCATGTCCATATCCCCGCTTCCAATACTGTTTTAGGTCATTTTTATACTCCAGCACCTACAACATCAATAGACCAAAAACATGTTACTGAAAAAGTGAACATGCCTTAGGGTGTAAATTACAATACAGTTGAAATGCCAGTCATGCATATAGTAGGAGCATAAATCTGATTTTTAACAAATTTTAAAAGCAGTATATTTTCTAAACTGCAAAGATTTATAACTGTGTCATCCGTTAAATAGCAAAGATGTAAGATATGCTGCATTTTTATTACAACACAATTACATGTGATGGAGCTGACAAAAGAGTGTATTAGTGGCCGTTTTTTTTTGTAATATTTTTTTCATAAACCAAATCTACCAGCTGTAAAGTGAAATACATTTTAAAACCTACTACAAAAAAAGAAACATGTTGTTTGGAGGAAAAAGTACCTCAAATCTAACTAAAAGGTAAAAGTTACTGTGAATTCCCTGACTTTATTTATGGAAATAACTACAGTCCCATTAAGCACTATGAATCACTATCAAATTGAGTACAGAACGAATGATTTGACTTCATACTTGACTATCTGATTGCATGCAAATCTTTGTACAAATAGCTTATTACTAAAAAAAATAATAATACTTATATACTTATACTTTAAATAATAAATGTACTGTTATACATTGTAAATAACTAGAAAAAATGCATGGAGACGGCTTCAACAAAACCAGTGTCATCAAATGCAGTTGATTATAATCACAACAGTGTAATTGTGTCTTTGTAATTTTTAAGGTTTTCATTAAAAATGACTTACAAAGTTATTTTTTTTTTTTTTAACAACATACGTACTTGAGCGTCGGACTCATCTAACAGTTCGCACCAAGGAGAGTATTCTGACTTGATGGCAAACTCATAAGAGCACAAAAAGAAAGCTGCCTCAGCCATATCTTGAAATAAAAAGCAAAAAAAAATCATAAAGCATGTTTATTGTAGATTATTTGAATTGACATCGACTTCAGAAATCAAAGCCATACAAAAAAGCCAAATTACCTGCCGTGATTCGATCGTATGGAATTTGAAGACGACTGGATATTTTCCTGCGCACTGAATCCATTTCTGATGAAGATTTGAAGCGCTGCACTTCCTTCAGAGCTGTTTTATTGTTTTCAACACCTTCCACAAATTTCTCACAGTGATCAAAGTATCTCATGAGTGAATCATCCACGTAATGTTGGTAATCCATATCTAGAAAACAAATTTAGTTGAACAACTGTTACCATAAAGCTTGCTGATCACAGATAAATCACCTTGTGCAGAGCTACAGTTAACAGTAGATATGTACGGCAAAAGTGCGGGAGAATGATGGGTATGGTTTCGAGATTGTCAATTGAAATTTAATGTACCCCTCTGCTTGTTTATTTGTTTAATTGTTAAAAGCTAGCTGAAATTAAATATTTCTATCAAATGTGTTTGTTTTTATAGCAATAAGTTATCATTTAAAAAGTAATACAGCATTAGTTGATACCATTTAAACTAATGTATTCTATTTATTTTGAAATATTATGAAAAAAATAGAAATAATTGTCCATGGCAACTTTAATGTAATATAGTTTGGTATAACTATCTTCGGCCTACAGCTCTTAATAATAGAATTTGACCCTTCATACGAAAGAGCTTGGACACCCCTGGCTTAGAAAGTCTTCAAATGGCAGTCGCTGCAGGAGGGCGGTGCAATGATATTATGTAGCACATGAAAATAGTTCCTAGCTGAGTTACTAGGTAACATAGCTGCACAGTATCATTAGCCGCGTTTCCACTATCGCGCCTAGAGCGAGCGAGCCAAGGCCAGTCGCGTTTCCACTGTCACTTCCAGGGCCTAGGCCAAATCGGGGCTTTCTTGGGGCCAGCGGCCGGCCTTTTTCGGCCCGCCAAATACCTTGGGCCAAAGAGGGCCAGCCGGGGCTTTGGGGCGGAGGGAAAGGAGAGGCGGGCACAGTTTTCCGATCGAACACGAGTACACGCCAAACACATAAACAAATAAATAAATAAGGGAAAGAAAACATCTGGAACAAAATATAGGCTAAGGTCTTTTTGCGTATGATCGCCCTTATGTTTCTCTCTTTTAAATGTAAGGCTGTTGCATTAAATAATAAAGTAGTTTTAATTTATAAGTGACTTTTCTTTGCTGCGTCCTCGATGATTCAATAATAATATTTACACTATATTAAAGACACAATAGACAGTAAAGGTTTTCAAGAGTTTTTGTCAAGTTTAAAAGGTGTGTTTGTGTGCATTTAGATGCCTGTGTGTGTGTGAGACCGAGGAAAAGAGCGCTCCCTTTATAGCTCTGTTAATGCCGCGAGTGTCTTTTTTCTTTTCTTTTTTTATTGTTTTAATTTATTTTGAACATAATACACTATATGAATATAACAGAACGACATTAAACTTTACAAATTTTGTGTCCACTTTTGTAGGCTCAAAACAATAGTGTCATATAGATAAAATAGCCTAAGCTATATTGAAATAATTTAAAGAATTACAAATATCAGATATAATAAAATCACATTAAATAAATAAACCAATATAAAACTAATAAAAGCTGGCTATAACAATTAGGTACTATATCAAACTGTTTTAAAGCCATATTAAACTTTCGTTTTTCAAAAGCCTCTCTGAAAAAAAAAAAAGATTTTAAATATTGTGCCTCCTGGAGCCATGGTACGACGGCAAAGTTCCTTAATAATTATTACGTCTGAATAAGGGTATAGTTCCTTGACAGATCAGCCTAGAAGTTAGAAATTTTTCATTTTCTATCAGTCTATGTACACAAGTATGAAAGTGTCAAGCTTTAAACAGGTAAATTATCACGCCTCTTTTTTTTCTTTACATTTTTGAGTGAGAAGCTAATGGTCTAATCCGATTCAATGATCTAAGCTAAGCTAAAAGTGCTCCTGCCAGGCCCAGAAATTGGCTGAATGGTTTGAAAAATGGTAAAACTCAACTGTTTAATTTTAGTGTAGTTGTACAATGAGCCTGTAATGAGTGTTCCTTTAAGATTTTTATATTATCCAATATAATTAGTGAAAAAACTGGTTCACTAATTAAATAAGATTTGTGCTGATTTTCAGTAAGTGCATTTGCCTTAAAACCAAACGAAAGATATGCATTTACATAAACTCAAACCGATATATGATAATGACATTTTCCTAAACCTAATTATGTAAGTGTTTCATTTATTACCTGATAATTCATTAGTTAACAAACTAGGCTTTAGGGAAAACCGCACAGTGAAATTGTAAATATTATAGTTCCTCTATTTATTCAAATGTCTATGACATTCTTCAGTGGAAAAAAAGACAATATTCTGAAAAACACTGCTGTTTAGTGGCCATACAAAAGAAATCAATAATGATTTTGCTACTAATTTAAAAAAAAAAAATTCTGGTGTGTTCTGCAGGTGAAAGACGTCATATACTTACAGCACATGTTTAGAATAGCATAAGGGCGAGTATAAGTTAAAGGTTGAAGTTTTTTCCCTTTTTCTTAGTGAATTTCCCTTAAGATATGCCAAGCCATTTATAATTTAATCTACAAATCTAATCTGTATGTGATATTTCAGTTTTGTTTCCATTTACATCTTATATCAGCTCTTTCTTTTTGACTAATATGCATTTCAATTGTGAATAGGACATTGTTTATATGCTGGTAGGATTCATTGTAAGGTTCTAACAAATACAATATGTACTACGTCAAACCTTTATAGCGGATATTTGATGGACAGATCCCCATTAAAGCCAAGAACAAAAACTGGAAACAATAAAATAGCGATGAGCAGGTCTACAGACTTACAGTAAATGGTGGGGCTGGGACATGACCAAAAATCTAAACCTCAATTTTTTGCTCTACAGTGTGATTTTTTAATTACTTTTTATTTTTTCCACCTCATAGTTCTTTATGTTATCACTTCTGTATCGTTTCATTATGTCATCATACTGTAAGTGTATGCAACTATTAACATTTTTTTTGGTGAAATAGCAAGTTTCTATTCTTTATGATTTTAAAATAATAATAGGGGAAAAATATTTACTGTTATTTGATGAATACCTTAAATTGAAATCGAAGTACACATTGCTTGAAATGAAGACGTTATGAAAAAAAGTTTTCAGATTTAAAAAGGTTTTTCAGTTTTTCCATTAACAAAATTGCAAACAAAATAAATAAATATTTTATTGTCAAAAGTGGAAAATATCCAGAATCTCTCGCAAAACATTAATGAATTAAAATTATTAAGACAGATTTTAGTGATGCTGGCAGTTGACGACCCCTTACAAATAAGGGAATAAGTCAAGAGAGAAAGTAAGTGAAGCTTGACAGACACATTATAGCTCATTTATTATTAAATACAAAAGAACTACTGCTACTAATAATCTGTCAGGCTTCTAAATATTAATTACATTGTCTGTGTTCGCTCAAACTGATTTGCTGAAGTGGAAATGCGGATGATACATGAGCATAAGCATTTGAATCATTCTCTTTTTTGTTGTCAGGATGAAGTGCATGTGAATTCTCTCACTGAGCTGTCGGTGAAACTCTCAGGTAGGTCTGTCAATATGATCAATATATCGACAACACATGTACACAACCTCAATCATTTTTGGTGATGCAATACATATCGCCCATACTTAAAAAACAATTCTAGCAACATTTTAGCTGATTGTGCAAAATCTTTATCGCTATTGGAGGTGTCAGTATGGTTTTAAAAACACTATAGTATTTCAAATATAATTTACTTTATTATTTTTTAATTTCGGCGACGCAGTGGCGCAGTAGGTAGTGCTGTCGCCTCACAGCAAGAAGGTCGCTAGTTCGAGCCTCGGCTTGGTCAGTTGGCATTTCTGTGTGGAGTTTGCATGTTCTCACCGCATTCACGTGGGTTTTCTCCGGGTGCTCCGGTTTCCCCCACAGTCCAAAGACATTCAGTACAGGTGAATTGGGTAAGCTAAAATTGTCCGTAGTGTATGTGTGTGAATAAGTGTGTATGGGTTTCCCAGTGATAGGTTGCAGCCGGAAGGGCATCCGCTGCGTAAAAACTTGCTGGATAAGTTGGCGTTTCATTCCGCTGTGGTGACCCCTGATTAATAAAGAGACTAAGCCGAAAAGAAAACAAATGAATTTTTCATTTCATTTATGATTATTTATTATTAGGATATGTGTTTTCACAATTTAGGTGCATCTCAAATTGCATACTTATGCACTATTCTACACCATTTTGTAGTACAAATAATGTAAGTAGTGTGTTCACACTGAAAACTCTAAAAATAATAAGAGCATTTTAATTACCCGGATAATGCACTTATTCAACCAGTAAAATGAAGTGTGAAACGATTGACACTTCACGCACTCAACGACCGCACGTAGCGGAAGGGGCAGAGCTTTTGGGCACTTATGTTGGATTACTATATTTATTTCAGATTGTGAAAGTAAAATTCTCCTACTAGAGTAATGCCGTCTCCTGATACTGAATGCGGTTATTCTCATGGCAGGTATTATTTGGTAGCTTGGTCATTTATTTAATTTTTTTGGCCTCCGACAAACGTCATCAGGGAGACGGTTTGAATTTTCGCTTAGTAAAAAAACAAACAAGTGTTCTATTTGGGACAACACTACATATACTATGTTGTTGAGTGTGTAAGTGCATAAGTACAGAGTGCATAAGTGCAGAGTGTATAGTGTGCCATCTGGGATGCAGCTTCTGATTCTAATGCGTAATTATTAAATTGTCCAAATTGCTATAATTTAAATATTCTTAAGAATAAAATATTATGTGCTCTTATAGAAAAAGAAGTGTACTTGCATTGTGATATTATATTGTCATTATGGCATTATATAATAAGTGGCATAAAATGGTCTTAAAATGACCAATGTCTTACAATAAAATAGTTTATCGCAATGTGTTTTTGTGGATATTGTGACAGGCACTCTCAGGTGCTTAGTTTGTTTGTCAATAATATGTTTTAAAAGCAATAGCATTTGAACACAAATTTTAACAAATTTGTTAAAAATTAAACACCCATAATTCACGCAAAGCATCATGGGAGCGTATGAAAATTGATTTTTGATTAATTGTGAAAACGGCTTGCCATATGCTATGTTTAAAGTGTTCAGCTAGTAAGGAACTGAGCCTACCTTGAACATCCCAGAGTCTGTGAAGACCCTCTTGAAAGGCTTTGACACTATCAACACAGCGGTGTTTGGAGCTAGTCATGAACTCGATGCGATTGGCACGGAGGTGATCAGCAGAAATCAAAGTGGGGAAGGACTTTGCCAGTCTCATGGCCAAATGCCTATGGTCATCTCGTCCTTTCTCCACTAGTCTGCCGTCCATGTCTTCAGTGTACCACATCTTCCATGTCTTTAAGTCATTTAGCCATGATGAAGCTGAACGCAGCGAGTCAGACTTGACCAGATCAAACAGTTGCGCGATCTTTCTCACATTTTTGGTGGTCGGATAGCGTGTCCCGTGACGTATCACAGACACCATATGGATGGCACGGCAGTCTAGGGAAGGGGGAGCCACCTGCGATTTGTTTACAAACAGAACGTCATCTAATAAATGTGGGTTCACTTCCTCGTACCTGCCTTTTGTCCCAAAGTAATGTGCTATCGATGGGACCGTTGGTCTGGCGAGTTTACTTAACGATAAACCAACCATAATGCTCAAATACGTAGTAATAAAATTCAAGAAGAAAGCTTTCATTTCTGGATGTGCGATATCTGTTCCTGATCAAAAACCCAAACCTGTTGCTTGTTCACCTGTGCATTCAATCAATGCCAAAACCCATAAAAGTCCTGCCGGCTATGACGCGCCGTATCTGTGAAGCCTCCCTCAAAACTGACAGAAAACTGAGAACTTCCGGGTTAAAACACAACATTATTTGCAGGTAAGCGATAAAACACTGAAATCTATATATGTGACTGATAATTATTTAACCATATAATGCAATAAAACATTCAAGAAAGAATGAAATTGTATGCTTGAAAAGATTTCGTGACAAAAGAAAGCAATCCTGTGCTACACTAGATGGCGGTGTTGTACATTATTTTAGTGCAGTTAACCCTCTGATGCAGCTTCAATAATTCCGAGTCTTACCTCTATTTACCTTTTCTAAAATTACAGCTTTGTTGCAAAAGGACTCTGTTGCAGTGCCTTATGTGATGGCATTTTTATGTAAATGAAATTTGGTTCTTACCCAACACATGTAAAAACTAAATGAAGAAAATCACATTTAAACATTTATAGATATTCTCCAGTTAAGTATTTTGCAATTACCCTCACTCCATGACATTCTGACTAGACATTCTTGATTTTATCAAATGATCTGAGGCCAAAATAGGTATAAGATTGTAATATTTGATTTTCAATTAGGCCTATATGAAAAATATATTGATTTATATATATATATATATATATATATATATATATATATATATATATATATATATATATATATATATATATATATATATATATATATATATATATATATATATATATATATATATATATATATATATATATATATATATATATATATATATATATATATATATATATATATATATATATATATATATATATATATATATATATATAAAAATAAATATATAAATACATATATATATATATATATATATATATATATATATATATATATATATATATATATATATATATATATAACTTGTTACTGTTGGCTAAATATCATATTGACAAAGGTACTGTAAAGGTTTTGTAGATGCTAACATCTTTTTTTTTAAAAAGAAAAAAATTAATTCTATTTTAATTATATTAAGATATCACAAATGTAAGGTGACAAGGGCTTTGTTGAAGTACTTTGCACTTCCTCTTTGTTGCTGTTGTGAGCATTCAAACTGTAAGAAATTAGACACCTTCCCCTCTAAATGGTGAATTGATGTTGATTTCCCAAAGGGCTGAATTATGAGAGAAAAGAGAAGTCAACAGTTTGTTGTCTCTGCATTGCTTGAGGTGACTACATCTCGACCAAAGCATAACAATTGTAGAATGGGGATGGATGTGGTGCACAGAGAACCATCTCAGCAATGGTGTTGAAACTACATTAACATAGAGAGATAGAGCGAACAGCTGGGTCAACAGCCAAGGAGCAACTTCATTAACATCTAAAACAGTATAAAGGTTTGAGTTTAAGAATGTTCTGACTGCAGTGAACCCAAGGTACTGCGCAGTACTCCCGTGTATTTTGAGACTGCTATGCTGAATAAACTTCTTCAATGAGATCTTCCAATTATGGATTAGAGAGCTATACCTGTTTGTCAGAGAGGGCCACCTCAAATGGTACGCAATGCAATCTGGTGATCAAAGTGAGAGATGTTCTCCTGGGAAACCCCATACAAACCTCACATTAACCAGCAGCATGTCTTATCCATGTTTCTGATGAAGCTGCTTGCCCATCCAACAGATGTCCATCATTGCATCAGAGGCCTGGCTCATGATGAAAAGTCATTTGTTCTTCCTCCCTTCATGGTACCGAATGTGCAGTCTGATCTTAAGTGGGATGTGATTGCCAGGTGGCTTTAGCAGTTAGTTTTGAGGTAGACACCATCCCTTCAATCTCAAAGCCCTCAAATGGGGATTGATCATGGTAAAATATATATATATATATATAATGAGGAGCTCACTAAGGTTTGGAAGGCACCTTTTATTGCCAGAGGGTTGAGCACTTCTGCTTTAATTATCCTCAATGTTGCGGTGGCCCAGGCAAACAACTGCTTCCTCACATATCTTTGGTCCCTCTGTGGGAACCTGGGAATTAAGTCAACCCTTGCTTCTTCTTTGGGACGCAATGCCTCTAGAGTCAAGTGCTCTCACTTTCTCTTGATGCACCACTGCTCGTACACAATGCTCGTACATTGTTCCATTGTCCCTTTAGCATGGAGTCTGGCAGCCTGTTTGGCACTGCCCAGCCTGTCTCTCTAGCTAATTTGGACGATCCAACTCTGCTATACAATTCAGTTAACCAAACAGACTCCCATGATTAGGAGCTTCTTTTCACAGCTGTCAACCCTTTCAACCATTTTTACATGGGAAACGTGTTGCTCTATGCTAGGAAGTTCTCTAGATGGTAAACTTAACAGAGCTTCTCCATATGCCAAAGAACATCTGTGGGCCTCAGCAGGTGCTGGAGAAGCTTTGACAGAAAACTTTATGGCAGCTTTACTGTGGTTTCTGTGAACAAGGAAGCCAAGAAATGGAAGTCTATGGGCCGAACTGTAACCACCTATTTATTTTTAATGTGGATGTTAGTGGAAGAATCTTCTAGCTTAGCAGTTTGAGGAATTCTGGGGCAAGCTTGTCAAGGAGCTCTGAGTATCTCAGTTTTAAAAATAAAATGTTATTGGATGGTGCAGTAATAATTTGAATGAAATTATTTACAATATAAATCCATAAGTGAGTAGTTCCATCTCAAGCTAAAGCACCAGAGGCAGCCAACGCATACCAGCCCTGCAATGCACTAAGGCTGGAGAACTATTAAAAACTATATGTTTACAATATGTACATATCCCAGGGGAATAGTTCCACAAGACATTAAAATATAGCTTTAAGCCAGGCTACAGACCAGCCCTGCAAGATAAGGCTGGAGGAATAAATTAGCAGCACATGTCAGGCTGACCCTCCTGAAATTCAATTATAAATCATACAAATTAATAGTGTTGATTGTCCCCAAACTTCCTGGAGGGCTAGTGTCCTGCAGGGTTTAGCTCCAATCCAGATCTCACAAACACCTCCTGAACATGCTAATCAAGCTCCTAGGTGTAGACCATTTCAATGTGGGGATGTCACTGGCCCATGAACATTCCCATCAAATCAAGCTATTCTATCAACAAGCTCTATTAGCCTTTAAACTGATTTTTAACCAAAATTTCTCACCCCACAAAATCCATTTCATGAAATTATGCAGACATTAAGATAAATATAAAATCTTTTTGGGAGGGTAAATGGTTTAACAAAAACATTATTTTTGTTTCTGATCTTTTTAATCGTTACGGGGATCTATATCTGATGAAAGCAGCTCTTAGTTATGAGGCTTGTTCCGAACAATTGTGACAGCTATGCCTAGGAGTAAAATCTATTCTTAATAATGAATGTAATAATAAGTTCATATGTCAATTGTCCAAGTCACATAACTCAATTATTCCTAGAGGAAAGTTGTTGGGGTTTTATAATTGTTAATAATCAATGGAGGAAAACATGGTTACCATATAAATTCTGTATTCCTAATAAAATAAAACAGGTGCACTTAAAAATTGTGCACAATATTTACCCATGTAATGCACTTTTATTGAAATATTGTGATGTTACTGATATTTGCACCTTTTGTAAGGATGAGTGTGAAGACATTTGTCACTTGTTTTTTTGTGCATCATTGTTTTGGAATGATTTAAGTTCATATTGCTTTTCCAAGATTAATATGAGTGGTAATTTGCACCTTATGGACATTATTTGTTATTTTGCAAACCAAAACAAGTCGCTACTGTGAAATTTCTTATACTTGCTGGGAAATTTTTCTTTCATAAACAGAGGTTCCTTAAAAAAATTCAATCTGTATAGACTCCCTATGTGAAATAGAACATTCAATTAAATCACCAAATCTTTGTCTTTTTATTGCATTATTATTTCTTTAAAATAATGTAAAGTAATTTTTCGTTTTGCTCTTTATCTTGTGTGTCTAATGTGTAAATTGTTTAAAAGAACTGTTCTATTTTACTGTAATTTAAGTTGTATTATACAATTTCTTGAAATAAGTTGGCGGTTCATTCCGCTGTGGCGACCCCGGATTAATAAAGGGACTAAGCCGACAAGAAAATGAATGAATTTCTTGAAATGAATAAAGTTATCAAATTATTTCATGACTGTAACGAGGCAATTCAATCATAACATAATGTTAAAACAGCTATTATAACATTATTTATCAATCAGTGGTTCTTTTTGTCATCTCGAAAGCTATAAAAATAAAAAATGTAAAACAGCAAACACATTGGGACCATTGTTTTTTGATTACGTACCTCATAATGATCTATACAGTAGGTGAAACTTTCAGGCAGGCGTGTTTTAGAGTTTGAGTAAAAACTCTGCAAGGACACCAGTCCTCCAGGACAAAGACTGAAGACCCTGGTTTAGAGGGCTGCTCAACATTGTTCCTGGATATCCCCCTGCAGAGTTCAGCTCCAGCCCTGTTCAAACACACCTGAGCCAGTTTATTAGGACCTGAACAGCACTTGATAATAATTAGGCAGGTGTGTTTGATATGGGTTGCATAGATCTTCAGCAACAGGGTTGGTGACCCTTGCACTATATGATCATTGCAGCATGTATTGTAAGGTAATGTTAAAAAGCTCCTTTTCATATTCAGATCATCAGAGCTCATTACCTTGAACCAGTCATGGACAATATCATCTCATTCACCTGTAGTTTCAAGCAATCCAGAGTAAAGTAGTAATATTCTAATGTAAAGTAGAAATGGAGCGAAATCTGATTTTTACTTTCAACTCTACACTTGCTCACTTTGTTGCAATGAAGTTCAACCCGTCTGAGGTATTCTTACTGGATGCAGATGTCAGAGTCCTTCAGATTTTGTTGCTTCAACCACACCATTGCTTGCTTCACATGGTACTTGCCCTTAAAAAAAAAAAAAAAAAAAAAAAAAAAAAAAAAAAAAGCTGTTAGCTGTCTAAGATGTAGTGAGTTTGTGGCATTTCGAATTTTTCATCATTGTTTTCCTCAAAGCTCCAC